AGCCACAGCGTCCAAACCTCCACCCACTCATCTTTCATTCCACATCTTCATCATCTTCATCCTTAATCGTCCATACCTCATCCCTTCCATCTCTCTCTCTCTCTCTCTCTCTTTCTCTTCTGCTAGTAAAGTCATCACTTGTTATTAATTTACATACAGCAATATAACAAGTCAGCTACATCCTCTTTTGTTTTGTAGCGTTGGGGGGGGGGGGGGGGGTAAAATAATGTAAGCATATTTTTTTCTATTTATTTGTATCACAGAGCATTCATAACTTTTTTTTTAATTAAAGGGGTCTATAAAATACAAGCTACGCTTTTTTATTAGATTCCTCCACTTGTTTTTTCACCACTGTAAAAATTCTACATAAATTATTTGTATAATTATTTGTCAAATCTATTCATCTCTTACCCCAAATATGTTTAATATTTTGTTATTCAACCTGTATATGTATTACATGCTAATTGTGTATGTGTATTATGTGGAAAAATAAAGAAACATTGAAGCCTTGACACCTTCATTACAAACTAACCCTTCAGTCTTGCGTATCCCCCCCCCCCCAAACAAAAATGACGTACGAAACAATTATTGCACCCACTTCTGCAGACTTTCTATTAAGATTTTATACAAATAAAAAGTACAAAATTAGTGAATTATTCAACAGGTGAATTTGATTGAAACATTTATTTGTATTGCTTTTTTCAAAGACACTTAATACAATCTCATGTTAAGAATTCAAATGCAAAGTGTTGCTGTGGTTGTTACAACAACATACTACCAAAAAATAAGAAACATTTATGCCATATGACTTATAATCCCAGAGCATGCCATATAGGTCGCTTCTCAAATCAGGGTTGACGATAATCCATTCATCTTCTTTGACGGTGTTCACAATGTATTATAGATATACATGCATAACTCTACATACTACACCTACATGTAAGTTAATAGATTTAATCAGGGAGGTGAGACACCTCCCTGATTTAATGGAATCCTTCCATCAGTTTGTAAGAGAGTGTGTTACAGGTCAGTTGCTAGACAGATGGACGGAGGTATGGAAGGACGGACAATCTGAAGACAATCTGGAGGCATATTTAAAACAAATATAACTGAAATCCCTAAATTCAATGAACGAGATATAACTCTTTCTCAAGAAAAACAACAATTTGTTTCTGTAACACTCCTAACTTAACACTAACATTGAACAATTTTTCTCTTTGGAAGACAACTCCAATATGTACAACAAGTAATAATTTAACAAACAAAACACCATGGGCCTATTTCCGAAAGCTCCTTGATTTAAAGATCCTCTGGACGGCCATGCATTATGGCTCAAGGCATGGGCACACAGAATTTTTTTTTATGTTAGGCACCGGGGTTAAATGCAATAAATTATTGAAAATGCATTGCATTTTCTGTTGTTTTTTTAATTTATGGAAACTGCCCCCTACCCTAGCCCCCGCTGCGTACAGTCATGGTTCAGTGACAAAGCAATAGCCTCGTAACTGTGAGGCCCCAGGATCAAAACCGTGTCGATGTGCTATATTAGTGCCCTTTTGTGTGGTATTAATCATCATTACTGTCATTTATGACTTAAGGGCATAGGTCCCCTAGTTGATAAGCATAGTAGCATACACATGCTTTAGCAGTCACGCAAAAAAAAAATTGGCAAATTATTTTTCAATAAAATCTGAGAATGTATACTATTATCTAGATCTATTATTTTTAAATTATTTTTAAAATAATTCCATAAATTGGAATAAGAAAAAAATATTCCAACTTTATGAGCGACAGTGTAGAACCAAATTAGACGCATTTTCAGGCACTTCCTGGAGTAATATGACGTAAGATTGCTTTCTCCTACCCCTTCAAAGAGTAGGGGTCTTTCGCAATTCGGAGAACCACATTTGGCGCATTAATGTCCACTGGCCCTTCATGGAAAAAAAGAGGCCTTCTGATTGGAAGTTAGAGAAAAGTGATCTGTCACGTCATGAGACGTTGAATAAATTATGCTTTGATGCCGCACAATGCACAAAGACGGTGGTCCGGTACTTCACCAGTAGTACTTGCAAAAATTATCTCGAGTGTATAAACTGTGTCGTCATCAGGGGCGTCGCTAGATCTTTTTCAGTGGGGGAGGTGGGGGGGGGGGGGGTTTAGAGGCCGCCGATTACCCTATAAAACCCGGAGCCAGGAACTAAGTTATTTTTCAGTTGTTCTCCCTCCCGGCGAAGCGCGGAAGCTTTGACACTTCATTAAATTATTAGAAAAAGAAGACGATCCGTTGTACTGTTCTTGACTCTTAAAGCTTGTTTCGCCCCTCCCGCGCAAAGCGCGGAAGCTAAGACTTTTCACTTAATTATTAGAGAAAGAAGACGATTCATTGTACCGGTCCCGACTCTTAATCCTTGTCTGAATTCAGTTCCCCCTTACCGCGCTAAGCGCGGAAGCTTTGACGTTTCAATACATTATTACTCTTAATCCTTGTCTGAATTCATTTTCGCTCATCCCGCGTGTCATTAAATTATTAGAGAAAGAAGACGATTCGTTGTATCGTGTTCTTGTCTAAATTAGGTTTGCCCCCCTCCCGCGCAAGCCTTGACACTTCATTAAACTATTAGAGAAAGAAGACGATCCGTTGTACCATTCTCGATTCTTAATTCTTGTTTCGCCCCTCCCGCGCGAAGCGCGGAAGCTATGACGTTTCATTTAATTATTATATAAATATTACGATTCATTATACCGGTCTCGACTCTTAATCCTTGTCTGAATTCCGTCCCCCCCCCCCCCTTCGCGCAAAGCGCGGAAGCTTTGACGTTTCAATAAATTATTACTATTAGTCCTTATCTGAATTCATTTTCGCCCTTCCCGCGCGAAACGCGCGGAAGCTTTCAAGTTTCATTAAATTATTAGAGAAAGAAGACGAATCGTTTTATTGTGTCTTTGTCTGAATTCAGTTCCCCCCCCCCTCCCAGGCGAAGCGCGGAAGCTTTTTCGTTTCATTTAATTATTACTCTTAATCCTATGTCTGAAATCATTTTCGCGTTTCATTAATTATTAGAGAAAGATTAAGACGATTCGTTGTACCGTTCTCGACTCTTAATCCTAGTCTGAAATTAGTTGCCCCTCCCGCTAAGCGCGGAAGCTTTGCCATTTCATTTAATTATTAGAGAAAGAAGACGATTCGTTGTACCGTTCTCTACTCTTAATCTTGTCTGAATTCAATTTCCCCCAATGGGCCCTTAACGGTATATGTGCAGTGTTTACATGATGTAAGTATGGAACGCTCGTTCGCAAATCTGTCCATTCTCAGCCCGAGTGGTGGGTAGCATGTTATCTCCCGGCAGTGCTTTGGACAGTAGCTTCTGGAAAGGAATTAGTGTTACTGTTCGTGGCCACTATAAGGCCCTTAGTGACTATAAAAAAACATATGCTCTTCCTGGCTATTTGGGAATAGGTCAGTTTGCAAGAAATAATGGAGAAATTAGCATTTTGTTGAAAATCATGTGATATCACGAACATTTATACATTACTTGTGAAAATAAGTCATGGTTCAATTTTATTTGGGGGGGGGGGGGGGGCTGGCGCCCCCCCCCCCCACCAGTACGCCAGTGGTTGTATGACCCAGTCCTCTCTTTTCTCATACTCTTCTTTTTCTTCTTTTCTCTTCTGTAGTTTTTTTTATTTTATATTTTTGAGCACATAAGGGGCGGTCGCGCCCTGCCCCTCCCATGTAGTGCCGCCCTGGTTTTGTTCAATGAACCTTAAGTTGCAGAGTATTTCCCCGTAAAATTGGGGATATCAAAATATTGTGTGAAGATTTTACGGTGGAAACGGGGATATATTATGTGCGAGAACTTTACCGTGTAATCTGGTATATTAAACATGTGTGAGAACTTTACCGTGTAATCGGGGATATTAAACATGTGTGAGAACTTTACCAAGTAATCGGGGATATCAAACATGTGCGAGAACTTTACCACGTAATCAGGGAATATCAAAGATGTGCGAGGACTTTACCGTGTAATCGGGGATATCAAACATATGTGCGAGAACTTTACCACGTAATCGGGGATATCAAACATGTGCGAGAACTTTACCACGTAATCGGGGATATCAAACATGTGCGAGAACTTTACCACGTAATCGGGGATATCAAACATGTGCGAGAACTTTACCACGTAATCGGGGATATCAAACATGTGCGAGAACTTTACCACGTAATCGGGGATATCAAATATGTGCGTAATTTTTTTAGCAAAGGTACCCTTACACAAAAGTGTTAAGGCAATGCGTATCAGAAATAGAAATGGGGGACTTTTTCCAAAAGACCAGAACAAGAGATGGCAGTATTATTTAATTATGTTTAAGCGTTTCTAAAAGCATTTCAAACGATTTGGAAATCGGGGATATCCCCGATTTACCAAATATCCCCGATTGGAAGGTGTGTTACGCACGATTGTCCCCGATTTACACCCGTCGCGAGAGCACACACACACACACACACACCCCAAAACACTTTCTCTCTCTGTTGGGTGGGATTGTTTGAATCCCTTTTTCCAGTTTACTGATACATGTAATCAAAAATAATTATCTGTTACGTAAATTCATCATTTAAAGTTAGAGTTGAGTTCTGGTCATGCAATTGCATTGTGAAATGAAAGTTGTGGAATTGATGAGAAAAGTTTGATCGTGTAGCAAATAAATATTGGTGTGTGCTGCAAGGTTCTGGAATCATCAAAAGTATAAGAAATTTGGCCCAGTCTTGGTAAAGTTACAAGCACTGTACACAGAAATATGTATATGGGACTACACGAACATGTGGCATAAAAATCCGTCCCGATTGTTATGATGTTACATGCCATATTTAGAATATTGAGGCATTTGAACAGCCATGCTTTTCAGGAAACATCTTTTATCTGATGTTCTTCCACAATGATAACGCTCACAAATTATTTTTCCCCTCTTCCCAGAACTCAACCTTCTCTTTAAGCACCTACCGAATGTTTCAGGCAGTGGCAACCTGATAAAAGCAAATCCAATGTCACTTGTTGATGTGCCAACAAAACAGTAGATGGGTTGATTTCCATTGACATTTATGGAAAACGAAAAGTATGATTGTAATGAAGACTGATCAGTAGCAGTATTTGCGGCCTGTGCGTTTTCCCAATTTTCCATTGAGAAATCCCCCACAGTAGCCTTAATTGAAGGGATGTTGCCACTTGTGTCGGTAGAAAATGTGCAGAAAAACATCGCAACACCTGGGTTGGTTTTTGCTCGGGAAATGCTAAAGCGATCTACAAATACAAAATATGTAAAATAGATAATCAACAAGTTAATGAATGAAAAAGAAAATCACTGAAAAAGAAAGTAATAATATCTTAAGCTCCATTTTTTTACGAGTCACTATATATCGCAATCCATTACATATTTAACCAAATATATTGGCCTTTAGATTACACGTTTTGATACAAAGAACCATTCAGGGTCAAACTATGAGTATAATTTGCACTGCTTACTGAACTTCATGGGTTGTATCAATAATCATAAATAACTTGTCGAGGAATGTATGCGTCCAATTTCTCGCATTTTATTGAGCGCTCAGTGTTACTGCTGGTAGAAATGACAGCATGTATTGTTGATCTGAAGTCAAAATATTCGTTCACACTTGAATGAGTTAGCCCTGTAATACCCCCGAACTATTTCATAAACACAAGCAACCCTCAATTTATTTTATTCATGTTATCTCTAAGTTCATTCAAGTTCGATAAAGCCCAAGCATATTGTTTCTGTTAACAATTCAACAAGAATACAAATGACATTAAACGGCTTAGTTGAGAACTATTGTAAAATATCCTGATAAGAATGGTTACATATAGAAAGGCGAAATACTTTGGCCACATATACAATAAATCAGAGGCACTTCAAGATGAAAGATATCTTGAAAGAAAAGGTAGAATGTAGCAGACCAAGACGAAAACCAAGAACCAACAAGGATGGGAATAGTAAAACACCGAGTCGAATGACAGTGCCAGGGTGTACTAAAATGGCAGAGAACTGAGATGTGTGGAAAAAAGCTACAATCACCCTCCGATTTGGGATAACAAACCTTGATAGATAGATAAGTAAATAATACTAACCAGTTTGACATTTGTCTCCCGTCCATCGTGGATGGCATGTACCTTGGGAGCACATCCCGGTCTCCTGGTTGCAGTCCTCAACACCACCAGCACAGTGGCATGTCTTAGAACAAGACTCGAAACATCCAGCAACTAAAAGACGTAAACATGTTGGATGAGAGGAAAGAACAAGTGAGTAAAAGCGATTTAAAGAAAAGCAGTTTCAAAATGTTGCATTCACAACATTCGGTTTTTATTACGATTTTCCTTAAAGTGCCTTTTGAATATTAATACTATTAATTACCTAACTAAACTAAAATTGCACGAGGAGAATAGCAAGCTAAACCACTGGAACCTCCGGGTCCCACCTTCCTGTAAAAATGATTGAGGTGCGCAGGTGTGACGAGGGTGACTGGGGTTCCCCTATTTATTATTATCTTGCACCCAGAATGCAGTGCGTTCTCAATGTCCTCAGCTAGGTGGTGACTGAACAATCTCCCAGACTAGCTGGTGGTGGTTGTTGTGGTTGTTGTTATTTCAGTTTGATTATCAAACATAAGCTGGTAATGCATGGCAAAGTTATTTGAAACAGTCTTAACAACAACGTTTTAACAATTGATCAATAAGTTGCTGTTGCAGTAAAGTGATTATATTTGACGTTGGTTCTTGTGACAATACAACTTTTAATAAGGCAGTTTTCGCAAGGTAAATCTCAATTCATGAAGCACAATTATAATATAAGCGGTTATACACGAACGTGAAATGCACAGACTTCCGTTATATTTTGGGTTACTGCCATTATTAATCGCTGTTTTATGGATGATCTTAGCTTTAATAAGGAAATATCTTACATGTGACACATCCATCTGGTCTCTGTGGAGAGTCAGCAACATAGCCAATCTCACATTGTCCTCCCGATGATGTACAGAAACCAGAGTCCTTCTCACATTCCGAGTCCTCTGGACAGTTACATAACTCTGTACAACTTATTCCAATATATCCGACTGGACAGACAGAGGGAACTGCAGAAATGGTATGTGTATTCAAAGAAAGAGATATTTATCCTTATAACATAAACAATACCAATGATAATAATAATATAAACATTAACAGTAAAAATGAATATAAACGACACAATTATTTTGAATGCATAGATCTGAGATTTCTCTAGTAAAACCCTTCCCGATTGTCATTTACCTGATGTTATTTCCCAGTTTGCCAACACACTATGGAGGCACCTTTTTCAATCCATTGAAAGCATTCCAGCCAGGCGCCCTTTACGAGACGTCCAAAATACTGAACAAACCACAATAACTTTCGCGCTTGACCTATCATTCGGATGAACTATGGCGAAATGTTAAGTTTTTAACAAAATGTTTCATCATTGCTTTTCTTACCAAATGAGAATATTCAAATGGGAGGGCAGCAAAATCTTTGTCTGTACGCACAAGTTCAATTTTGATAAACCTAATTTTCCATTTCTTTTTGAAAACCTAGACTAGCTATAAGAGTTTAAGGCTTTCCCAAAAGTAGTTACAGTACAGAACCTATGGAAGTGCAGTAGATCATGCAATCTACATAGTCTTGTAGTTCAGACACTGTTCCACATTACGACTGACTAGGGATAAAGAGACCAATGATTTGACAGTATTGTCCGGTGATATGTATTAGATTGTATACCCACCAATGGACATCATGATTGGAGATATTCTCGACCAACATGGACATCACAACATCCTGCCAAAACTGAATGCGACCGACTCTAACAGGAAAATCTAACACATAGTTACCAATGCAACCCATTAAATACAATCATGTACATTTCAGCTACCTAACATGCATGACCAACGGATACAGACGATATATGTTTATATTATAATATACCCGCAAGTCTACAAAAGAAATTAGGCATACCTTGACACCCTTCTCCTGACCATCCATCCTCACAGTCTCCCTCACATCTTCCCGTGAAGGCGTCACATGGCATGCCTCCTACACAGTGGCAATCTTGAAAGCAGTCAACACCAAACTTACCCGGAAAGCATTCTGTAATTAGATTCACGACAGTAAAGAATAGAAAAGTAAGGAAATATAAAGGGGACATTCCGCATGCGCATTGACAATCTTGAAGCCAGTCAACACCGAGCCTTCTGGTAGAACATCCTGAAATTTAACTCACGACATTAGATCTGATTTAAAAAGTAAATAACGAAATACATAGGGGACTTCCTAATGCAGACAAAAACATCCTGGAGGCAGCGCATCGAGCTTTCCCGGAAACAGGCTCAAATGTAGTTCAATTAATCCAGCGGATTTAAATATGAATAATAAAAATGTTATACTCCTTGATTTTAAAAGCGGTAACAAAAAATATATATTGTATCATTAAATTCTTTTCGATTGGGTGACTCATAAAAACTAAATAAATCATGTTTGAATGTACGTAATGTGTCATTGCAATGTTCTCACACGCAAACGGGTGATGGCCATGGCGCTTTAGATTGCTTTACGTTGGTCTTTTGAAAGACATGTAGTCTTCTTATGCTACATTAATGTATCTTACGTTCGTCGCAGTTTATTCCTGTAAAACCAGCCAGGCAGTTGCATCCATATGGATCGGGTAGACACACCTGGCTTCCACTGCAGGCTTCTAGAGCATTCCCAGCACCACATTCAAGTTCACACTCCCATCCAAAACGATTTTCATCGCATGCTGTTCCAAAAAAATTGAAGAAATACATAATTAATAGAATCATGCTCTCAATTTATTCTCTTGCTATAATATGCAGCACTTGCACTTGAACATAATTATTTGTCTCTATTATCCATTTAATTATTTGATTCTTACAAATATAAAAGTTCAAGTTTGCAATTCAATCCAAAACGGTTATCAAAGCATCCTCTTAAATGTGAAAAAAAATCTAAATAAAAAGCCATTGTATTTTGTTGCAAGTAGTAGGCAACACAGCTAGTGAATACTACATTATATTTTATTGTTTGTACCTATGAAGGTACCCTATACCTCCCTTCCAAAAAGAGAAAAGAAAGGTAAACCTCATCACACTGAGAATAATTAATGATTTATAAGGCTTACCGTTTTTTTAAATTCATTGTTTCGACTGCATGAAATTTAATATAGACTGATAATAATTGAATTATATATTACATGTACATAATTTGTCTGTTTTTATCTCAATAACTCAAGTTACATCAAGAAAAATATGTGGTCTCATATACCTTTGCAAAAAGCCTCAATGACTGAACAGTCAGCGTTATCTGAAATTGCATACTTCAGTTGCAATGGAATCCACGAGGGTGTGGGTGCAGCGTGTTTGTTTGTTTGCGTGCGTTTCTTTGGGTGCGTGGTTATGTTCGTGAGTATAGCATTGTGTATCGCAGATAAGTAGTGAACACTTTTGCGGCTTTTTGTTTCCTTGTCATTGGGCCAGGAGTAAAGTGGAACTCATACTGTGATTTAGTCTTTACTGAGGTGTTTACTTCGCCATTGAGAAATATTTTGAAGTCTCACCAGTCAGACAGTTTTTGCCCATGAATCCTGGAGGACAGATACAGGTTCCTGATTGAGGATGACAAATCCCTCCATTGTAGCAATTATCACACAGACGATCACAGGGTGGGATGTTCCATCGGCCACTCGGACAATCTATAGGAATAAAATGGAATCAATGTGGCATAATATTTGGTTGAATCTTGAATTTTATATAACTTGTCACACATTTTTATAATGGTTGGCTATAGGGCTAGTAACAAAATACAGTTACAGTGCTTTTATCATTACGTATGGTAATCTTCATAGTGTATTGAGCCCATTAGTACAAACAAATGGTAAGGTTCAAGAAAGCTTTATCGAATAATACACAGTTTGAAACTTATGTTATGATTGTAATTCCTTCAGATAGTATCATAACTTTCCAATTATAATAAAAGCGTATTTTTGAAGAAAGGAACAAAATTACAGAGAGATTTCGTATACATAAAACAGATAGTTCCTTTATAGATTTTTCAGATTATTAGAACAACGGAATGGATAAAACGAAATTTATTCTTTTACCACTGACAATGACGCGAATCAAGCTGTACATTAGATTTTCAACCATGCCGTTTTGAACCATTCCGTAGATATCAGCATTTCTCTTCGTCGCCGATCGAATGGTATAGGTCAGAGTCCGGTCTCCCTCTGGAGACAAAGATCCTTCAGCGAGGTTTGAGAAGGTCCTCCATCGGATTTCATCTTCTCCAGCTGTGTACGTATCCATGGTAGAAACTGAAAGTATGATGTCGTCACCTGGATAAATCGTTTTCGTGAGACGGCCGTCAGTTGGTTGAAAATGTCCTTGGAAAACAAGAAGAAAGAAGGTAAAAGGGCTTCTTACTATGAATACTAAGTATGAACGAGAAACGATCGATAATGAAATACATCAAAGTATGTTTCATTAATTGTCTTAATGATCAAACTGGAAGCTCGTAAAAAGATATAAGTATTCTTTAAAAGAATGTTTGCATTTCAAAATCTTGATATGCATTTCTATGTCTTGCCTCACAATATGCAAAACAATCGAAATAAAGCCCAAATTATTCAATTTCCACCAAAAAAATAAATAAGACAAGTTTGAAATATTAAAGTGTGAGTATTATGCAGTGGTAAGGATGATGAAGAAGATGACGTCGACGCCGGTTATGATGATAGTGCTTCAGACTATTTATATTGCGCCATATTTCTGTTAAATACATTTAAAGACACAGAATGTCCTTGCAATGTTTTTTTTTAAGTTATTTATTATTGTGTCAGTCCTATTCGCAAGCACTCTTTGCTCGATTGCAAATTTAATTATACCTACTGTCTTTTGAGAGAATTGTTACATCTGCCGATGTTGAAATACCAGTAGTTGTAGATGTACTCGAACACTTATAAAGACCAACGGATGTCACATCACCAGGTAGATCCTGTATAAATCCACCAGGCTGAGTTATCTTTGTGCCCGGGACGTCCAGTGTGTACCCATCTGTTGTGAGGCTCTGAACAACTACTCTCTCTGTATAGGTTACAGAGTCTTCTGTGTTGTCAGGAGGGCCGAGTATGCAGGAGAAACGAGGAGTAGCTCCCGAACTCCCGAAAGGTGTAGACGTCATGACGAGTAGATGGAGTGGTGGGGCTGGGTAGAGAGATTATGTGTTATACGCTATAAAAGAACTGAGTATTATTATTATTATTATTATTATCAGAAAAAGATTATTGGTAATAATGCATTACCCAATCGTCTGTCTTATTAGTGTATTTCTATATTGATTGAGAATAAGAAGGTCCTTAAGTCTAAAGAAAGCAGTACCTTAAGTTTCTTATTCTCACCGATGTTATATTTTCTACATGTGGCTCCCTTATTTCTCATTTGTAATATGTAATCTAACTCCATCCCCTCTCCTCTAGAACCGTTACTGAGTGTATTGAGAATATCCGCCTATTTCGCCCTTCCGTCATTAAACAGAAATATGTTTCCTGTGTCACGGGTATCATGCATGGGAATGAGAAAGTTCACGGGACAACACTGATTAATGTATACGATAAACTCCAAATCGTTACCCAAAGTCTGGTAATTCTAATGCAAATATTTAGTGATTTTACAACATTCTATGTCTCCAATTTACATCTAGAAAGAACAAATTTAAATATGGCTTGGCCATCGAACTCAGCTGATTTTGTTCAGACTAATAGTGGCTTTGTTAAATGTGATAGCGTGTTATTCGATTGCTGTTTACGTGAAAATGGATAACAATGTCATTAATTTATATCTATTCATAGTTTCAGCCAGGGGCGTACGCAGGGGGGGGGGGGGGGTTTGGGGGTTCAAACCCCCCCCCTTTGGTATTTTTTATGTGTGTAAACCCCCCTAAACCCCCCCCCCCCTTTTGGTTTTTTTTTTTTTTTTTTTTTTTTTTAATTATTAAAAAAAAAAAAAAAAAAAAAAAAAATTATACCCACGGTTAACCTAAAAAAGGTGACCTTACCCCCCCCCCCCAACGAAGAAAAATGTCAAATTTTGAAATTTCGAGACCAAAAAATAAAAAGTGTCCGCTTATTCCCCCCCCCTCCCCTTTCGGGAGCAAAACCCCCCCCCCCCCCCCCCCCCCCCTTGAAAAAATCCTGCGTACGCCCCTGGTTTCAGCAGAATCCTTAGTAATTATAGGTTAGAAGTTAGGTCACATGTTATCACGTCTATCACATTGTTTATTTGATATTTAAATAATATGACATACCCTCTGATTTCTCGCAGACAAACCTTCGTGAATATCCGCTACAAGGTATGTCAATCCAGCCGTTGTTTCCAGTTTCTACACAGTGTTCGTACCCATCGAAATTATCTGGATTCCCGCCACCCCATTCAGTGAATCTGCATATTCGAAGTTATAACAGTTTCGTGATATTCCTTTTTTAAATTTGTAGTACCGTGATGAATCAAATATCAGGAATTAGATTATCTTTGATGTTAAACAAACAAAGAAAAAAGGTATGTAGGAAACTAACGTTTGTTTCCTAGCGAAAATGCAGTTTTCATAGTAAATCAATCCAAAACAATAAACAAATAACAATTTGTAGGGGTGGCTTATCAGAAAAAAAGCTGAAAGCCCTAAACAATGCAACAGTGATCGTCAGAAAGAAACAAAGATTGGTTCCATGAGCTGTAAATATGTTAATACAATGGCTCTTAAAACTAGCGAAATTGCAATTTTCTTAGTAAATCGATCGAGAACAATAGAAAATAACAATTTATAGGGGTGGCTTAACAGAAAAAAGCTGAAAGCCCTAATCTACGCAACAGTGATCGTCAGAAGATAAAAAATTGGTTCCATGAGTTGTAAATATGTTACTACAATGGCTCTTCTCGCTTTTTAAAGAAAACCGCACCCCGAAGAATGAGTGCGTAGATATTCTGAAAAATGAGATGTATTTCTGATGCATCAAGTCCTTTCGTCTTCTTTGTGCATGGCTGTACGTCAACGAAACGGAGTTAAGTCTTTTGTCAACTCTGTTTGTTGCTACGGCAGGCAGCCAGTGAAAACGAGTTTGTTTAGTCAAATGATGGAAATGCAAGCATTAATTTAAACCTACATAACTTTGTTATTCCTGGCTCATTTCTGCTGATTGAGGTGTCGTATAAAAGGGCTGAAACTGATCTTTCTGGAAGTGTGATTTTCTCTTTGAAATTCAGACACTGCCCGCCAAATGACTTTTGGGTTTCCCCTCTTAAAATTGTTTTTAATCGTAAACTTTTTACACGTAAACCAACTGGGATCTAAGCAAAATTTATTTATGCGGCCCGTTACCCTGGGCAACGGGCATCTTTTAAAAACTATTGACCGATAGAATATCCAATTCGACCAATCAGATGACTAGATGTATTCAACATTCTAAAGAGAGGTATATCATAGTTACTAATCAAGACCGGCAATGGTTAATTGGCAGTGGCAATATGTTGCACAAAGCAATCCTTCTTCCAATTGGTACCTATTGTGTTGTACAAAAATGCGTGTGTGGTAAACGGGCGACCGTGCAGATCTAAAGGTGAAGTGTGAAATATGTAAGAAATGTGGATGAATCGTTGTTTACTCTGCAACCAGTTTCGTTTAACAGCCAATAGTCTATTCCCATATGGTATACACCCGGACCGGCTCCTATCGATGTGGTACAATCATTATTTTGCCTACTTATCAATTGGTCTTATTCCAAGTTTGTATAATGGCCATTAATTTTGTCTATTATTCATATGGTTTAATAATCATTCAATCATAATTATTGATAGTCATCAAATGATTATTAGACCTTGTGGATGGAAGACAAAATCGACATTAGAAGAACTTTGAATTAAACCGACTTGAAATTAGAGTAAATGAGCGATAGACAAAAGGGTAGTAGACTTATTGGATATTGGACCGATTGGAAATTAGACCACATGATTATTAGCGCAAATGGTCATTAGACAAAATGATTATTAGACCATGTGGATAGTACACACGGCGGGTATAGACTATATCGTCGGTGGGGTGACAAAACCTCGTCTCAAAAATCATGAATTATCAGGAGAGCGAAAAAACTTTCCTGTCTCAACAAATTTAGTGCTGTGACACCGTCCTTTCTTTTTAAAACTGGAATATTTATACAATTTTTAATGTCATTGTTGAAATACAGTAAAATAATTGTTTTTATATTTGAAAGTGAGTTACGAGGTTTTTGCTTTTATCTACATTGAGATACGAGTTTTTAGTAGTTATTCAAATTGAGATACGAGTTCTTACTTTCAACTCTGAATGAGTTACGAGGTTTTGGTTGAATAAGTTACGAGTATTTGAATACACTAACTTCAGTACTGTTAGGCCGTGTGTGAGTTACGAGGAAAAGGAATTACGTATCTTATGTCACGAGGTTTTGTCAGTGCAGCTTCAAAGGGGGTTAAAGTTACGAGGTTTAGTTTAAGGGTGTTTGTGTGGATTTGTGAAAAACCGAGACAGGAGGCGTTCCATGGATTTATCAGGTGGTGTCGTAGGCCATTAGCTACAAAATTATGCAAAAAAAAAATCAAAATCTCAAAAAATTGAGATACGAGGTTTTGTCACCCCACCGACGATATAGACCAATTGGGTAGCAGACGAACTGGTTGTAGATCAGAAGAATATAAACCGTATACTGTTTATACAAGCTACCTCGAAATGCCCAAGTAAAGAGAGAGGGAGGGTGAGGATGGGGATGGGGGGAGAGGGAGATGGAAAGAGAGAGAAAGAGAAAGAGAGAGAGAGAGAGAGAGCGAGAGAGAGAGAGAGAGAGAGAGAAAGTGGAAGAGAGAGAGAGAGAGAGGTAGGAGGGGGAGGGAGAGAGAGAGAGAATACAATGTCATCTTACCCTGTATTTCTTAACAGCGTTCCATCAGCCCATCGGAAATCGCCTTCCTTGCTCAGATCCTCAAGCCCAAACCAAAATCTTCCGTCTCCAATATTCCCAAATTGATTTCTCACTGCTGACTGTATTATCAAGAAAACAATAAACAATTTTCTATTTTATTTCCAGTGAATTTCTCGTCATAAATGGAAGTTTGAAGTATTTATTTTAGAAAACGTACGAAAAAAGCAATCAATATGATCAAGGAGACCTTGATATAAATGAGTCGTGATATTCGGTTGGAAGACACATGGTCCGGCGACAATCACACCGTGGTTGATTGAATTGGACTGGTCTATAACAAGAACATGACACGCAGCTCAAGGCTGATACTGTGTTTATTTCTCGAAGTAACCGAAATAAATTAATTACATCATGATAAAACATCACGTACATAATACAACTTTCCAATAAAAATTCACTTTATGATTTGAAAAATATACTAAAAATGAGGATCATTAACTTATCAAATATTTTAAGGTCATATCCATAAGTAGTGAAGAATATTTAGCAATTCATGTAAGCTTGTTTAGTATAAAGTTATAGTAAATCATAACATGATATGATTCAACAATATTACAACCTTCAGAGCAAAAAATAAAAGAGTTAAATGAAATCCATGTACATGTACTGGAACAAAACCTCACAGTAAGTGAGGAGACGACCAAATAAAAATCAAGATAAAGGGAAGATTAATTATGTATGGTAGAAGAGATAAATAAGAGTAAAAGACGAAAGACCACCTACATCTTTATTAACGGACAATAAACAGACAATTATGAAAATAGATATGAAAAAGATGTTGCATCGGATTGAATTAGATTCCACAAATGATTCATTTCATTACACAAAGATAAATTAAAGCATTGCGATAACTGATGCTTGTAATAGGTTGGGGGTATAATAATGTCGATTACCGTGTCGCCGATGACACTGTTTTCAAACACGTAATACAGACAAGGTATTCAGGTTGAATAATCTATAACAAAAAAAGGAATAAACTAAAAATATATAGGTGATTCTTTTACTCTGTACTTTCCATTAGGTAATTTATTTTAAAATTTACGAGTAGAATCAGACGTACAGTCCTTATATAAGAGCGAGTTCGTATTTGTTTCTTTGTATGCTTTACTTAGTCCGACCCGAGACAACTTACATTGATAGTTGATGTTTTTAACTGCGCGAGCTGTCCACCTGTTTGTTGGCAATATTCCGATGCGTTGAAATAGTTTGTTGAGAAGGTTGACACGTAATACTGTACGTTAAGCACTCCTGGAATATCTGTCCATTGTCCAGTTGGTACTGTGTAAGAAAAAAATAAAGTATATCTTAGAAAGAAATAAAAGAAAGGAATAATAAAAAGTATTTGAATAACGAAGTTCAGTTTGATGACGTGACAATCGAAAACCACTTATTATTTGACTGTACTTTCTCTTTACTCTCCTCAAAATGAACCTTACCTTGTGGTCTTTCACAAATGTACGGCTGTGTGTCATTACAAGATCTACTGTCCCATTGGCCATGCCTGTTCGCGTCATTTCCATCAGACCACAAACACGCGCAGGTTCGCACGGTAGAAGTACCCGGCTCATCAGGAGCCCAGATAGGGTTACTAAAATGAAATGTAGTAAATATCATAAGTTAGTTGGGTCATGTAATGAATGATCCTGAGCTTGTTGAAAATAAACAATTGTGAGAAATGAAAACGAAAGAGCAATGTAAGTTGACATGGAAGGCGGCAATGGAAACATCCATCAAGCAACGCATTTACCGGTACTACTACCTTCTCATAATCCCGTATTTGCTAATTCTTATTTATGTGGGTATCGCCAATATGTTACCATATTTCGCATGGGTTTTATTAGGATATTTACTTGCATATGGTTGTATATTTCATTATGTGAAAGGCCGCCTAAAGCATGGATCTTCTCGTAGTAGTTCCATGGTGTGGGTGTATGTTTGCGCATGTGTGGAGAGTGAACGTGTGCTAGGCGGTGCGTGTAGGTGCGTGCATGTGTGTGTGAATATGCGATGCCAGTTTCGCCAAGCAAAACAAAAAAAGGCCATAGAATATCACCTTATTTGAGTTTCATCAATCCAGGTGAATGGCTCAGCATCCGCGCTTCGACTTAGACCGAACCAGTAACAAGAAGGCGATGAATGGGCAGGCGATACAATCGATGTTAGGAACGTCTGTATAACAATTAACAATTCATTTAACATATCAAACTGATCAAAAGATGGCTGCATTAAATACGACATACCACATAGAGTCTTCTTCTGACGTATACTGTTGAGATTTGCATTTTGTGAAAATCTGTTGGAAGCCAATTGTCAGATTGTTAAAATATTTTCTTCAGTCTTCAAGGGGAAAAAGGGACGACACATTTTGAGGTTATCTTTCCAAATTGACTGATTTATTCACATTCCGATATGACTGTTCTCATTTTGAACTCTCATTGTTTTGTTGTTTTGAAATTTAAAAAGGGGGGTAAGAGGACACTTTTTTTCTTTTTTTTTGGTCTCGAAATTTGAAAATTTGACATTTTGCTCCGATAGGGGGGGGGGGGGGGGTAAGGTCGCCTTTTTTAGGTCAGCCATGGGAATATTTTTTTTAATTTTTTTATTATTATTAAAAAAAAAATAAAAAAAACCCAAAGGGGGGGGGGTTAACCCGCCAAACACCCCCCCCCCCTGCGTACGCGCCTGACAGCATGTATGACATTGCAAACGCTAAACACAACACAATTGATAATCATAACCCGTAGAGATGTCGTGGTCAAGTGGATATAAGGGACTTTTAGATTGAGGGGACGAGAACACGACGAACGCCGACTGATCATGCGTGTCAACGTACTCAACTGTCCATGTTGACTACAAATAGAAATCTTTTAGATTTCACTCGACGATATATCATGCATGCAGGAAGTAACTCTGTGAACAAGACAGAAAAAGAAAGAGGACAAAATATACAGTTCCTCATTCTACCCACAGCAATTGCTGTGGTAGACAAAAGAACATCCCTTCACTGCTATTATCATGTAAAAATGTGTAGAACAAGGCCCTGTCTTACAAAGAGTTGATATCAATCGCAATATGTACATAAGAGATAGGAGACTGCAAACTTGCGATTGATTGGAGGACTTGTGATTGATTTGGATCAATCGCAACTCTTGGTAAGACGGGGCCCAGGTGAATATGCATGTGACACCTGTTCTACACATTTTTACATAATAGCAGGGAAGAGATGTTCCTTTGTCTACCTAAGGAACTGTATATTTTGTCCTCTTTCTTTGTCCGTCATGTTCATAGTGTAATCATGCATATTAGTACCGTACTAGATTTAGGAAAATCAAGGTTGACGCATTCTCGATCGCCGACTGAGACGACGTGACGCATGCGCAGTGCCTTAAAATGACGTCACACGTTAAGCGGACACTTTTTTTTTTTTTTTTTCTCGAAATTTAAAAATTTGACATTTTTCTTCGTTGGGGGGGAAATCATAGTGATTTTCATCCAAAAAGAAAGACCGAAAAAAAGAAAAAAAAAATCCAAAGGGGGGGGGGGGGGGTTTATTTTTTTTAGGGGGGTTTACACACATAAAAATACCAAAGGGGGGGGGGTTGAACTCCCAACCCCCCCCCCCCCCCCCCCCCCCCCCCCCCCCTGCGTACGCCCCTGGTCCAGACTGCGAACCACAAGTTATACGGGGTTAAAATATCTGCCACATTTGTTGGCAGACATAAAGCTTCATTTGCCACACTCGACCCAGCTGAGGTAAATTTCTGGAGAGTCGTTAGAGCAGTCGTGTTAAGGCGGGGGTAAGAGTGACTTTTAGAAAACGGCGTGAACGTCCACTGATCATGCGTATCTATGGCAAGCCGTTTTAACATTTATTTCCTGATATCAATAATTCAATTCTTAATATCAAGAATTATCATTGCTTTACAACAGAAAATCATTTCTTGATATCAAGAATTACCATTGCTTTACAACAGAAATTCATATAGGGTATCAAGAAATCAATTCTTGATATAAAGAAATAGGAAAAAATGCTAAAACGACTTGCCATGGACACGCATGATCAGTGGACGTTCACGTCGTTCCCGTCCACTCAATCTAAAAGTCCCTAACGTGGAGCTTCAGGAGTGTCAACCCTGACGGATAAGTAATCGTATCAATAAATAAAAAAAAAATATTTTCTCACATGCATGATGAAAATATTCATTACACCGAGTCGCTATGCAAGTAACAAATGTGACGACAATTATTGAGTGCATAATTTTTTTTTTATAATGCTTAATCTGGAAATAGACGCAATCATACTTACATTAAGTTCTGCTAATCCAATAATTGCCAATCTTCCACCGTTGTTCGTGCACTCCGTCTCGGCGTCATCAAAATATTTTCCATCTCCCATGAAGCGATAAAATGAATTCCCGAACTGGTGCCAATAACAACGGGAATCTGCAAAATGAAACGCTGATTATTTGTTCTGATATATCATTCTTTTATTAATCAAAGTGTCCATAACTGGTAAGACATTAATCTACACTTGCCACTCTTCACCCAGGTACTTGTTAACGGTAAGAAAGAATATCCTTGAATGCTGTGAGCATTGAATCCCGTAGTCTAGGTAAAACTGGGGTAATACTAAAGCGCCTTGGCCACCATGCGTGGTGGATATGTGCGCTATAAATATCTAACCAAATTGCCCACTGGTAAACCTTTCCTCGTCTAATGAACCAGCAGCAGCATAAACACGTAGCGAAGATATAAATTAAAAATTAAATCGCAGGCTTGCTATGCATTCTTAATCATATTCTTCTCCCGAAATCTCAAAAAAACGAAAGGCAAACTTTGAATATCTGAAGACTAAATTTTCCCTCGTCATTCTCCCAATAATGAAGTCAAGTGCCCGGCCGAACATACAAAAGAGACACAACTGATCCCTTTTCAATAGTGGGGTATCCAGACCTTGGCCTCGTGGGAGGGGGGATGGAAACCATATGTGATTATATGGTGCATGCTTTAATGCCTTGCTTGGCGTTTTTTTTTGGGGGGGGGGGATAGGATGAGCTCATAATCTGGACCCATTTTCCTTATTCTTCTTGCTCATCGTAAACGTTAAGCTTTATAACATCACTGCTGTTCGCTACTTTTTTATATATTTATTTATAAGGTGATTGCATTTTGTTTCCTTGTTAGACATCTGTCATTAGGCATATTGCTCTTTGCTAATTCTCCTTCACGTTGGCTAGTTTTTTTCAAGATAGATTACCTTTTGGACGTTGGCAAATGTGAGCCCGGTCATCGGTACAACTGAAGTCCTCCCACTGTCCTTGATGACCAGATCTTAGCAGTATGCACCTCCCTTGCCCTGGTGTTGAACGGAAGTTTGAATACCTTTTACAAAAGGAAATTATTTAATATAGATTAATAACTGTTATTATCTGTTTGACAAAAATAACACATTGATTTATATCAGTACTTACATTATTACTATTATTGTTTGTATTACCATTATCATAATTATTAGGCCTATTAATGTCATAATTATTATTATCGTTATCATCATTATCATTACCATAATTTTTTAAAAACATTTCTAACTATTATCACCATTTTGATTATTATTTTACTACTATTGTATTTTTTAAATATTTTCATTATCATATTTATTACAATCCTTCTTGTATCAGATTCAATATTCCACGCAGCAACCGAACACGCTTTCCCCAATCATTTGTACCCACCTCACGTTCAATCAAATTGTAAAAAGAGAATATAAACCAAAATTATCTACATAAACTAGTCTACACACCATTGTTTAAGTAACAGTAGTACAGGATTCTCGATTTGAAAGACATGAATAATACCAAAGATATCGTGCGAATGGGCAATAGAGGATGTAAAGTGTAAAGAAAAACAACACTAAATTATCATGATGATAATTATTACGGATAGAACAGGAAAACGGAGGAAGAGAAGATAAACATATAAGGTAGGGGTTACATACAATTTTAATGGGAAAACAAGTTTGAGAAGATGAACAACAATTATAAGCTGAGTTACGCCCCTTTTGTTATGTGAACAGATGCCATTGCTTTGTTCGTATTTTACTCGTCTCTGTTTTGATATTTTTTCTTGTTATCGCTGGTGGGAAGTATAATATAATATATAAATCATCAATTATCATTATATATTTGATTTTGTTTCTATCATTAAATACCTATCTGTGTATCATGCCAAAGACAGGAGACACACAGTATTAATAGGAATTCCAAAGCACCTTTATATATTTGAATTATCCTTATCTCAAATCTCAGAGAATAGCATTATGGTGCATCCAGTCATCATTGCACTATAATATCTAGGGCAAGTTTAACCTCTGCCTTCGAGGTAGTATCGTTTTCCATGCAGTGACTCCCTATTACAATTTCTTTGACAGTAATAAACTATATTCTTCTTCCTCATCCTTCGTCTTCTTCTTCTTCTACTATTTCATAGTAAATTCCATCCAAAAAGGTAGACCGAGAGGTGACACAAACCTAATAAATATGCCGTTAATATGTTCATATTGAAAGTAGAATCGAATTACCCCGATAGGCTTTTGTTTATCCACGTGTATTCACCGTCATCATCCAAGTCATTCAGGCCAATCCAGTAGTTCCATCCTCCATAATATTTCCGAGTAAACGTGTTCAGAAACGCCTTTCAAAATGGATGAACATGTAAGTGATTGAAATGGTCAGGCAAATAAACGTATTTTCATATACAATGACATTGAGTATAGCTGATCATGAGACACGTATACCATTAGGTAATTGCCTCATACTGTGCAACTCTTTGCTTTATGAAATGTGGGTTTGTAGTCAATGTCTTGAATTGTACCTCATATCGTAGGCCCGTATTATAAAACAATTACTTCTATAAATCAATGTCTGTATCTCGTGCATGAGTTATATGCATTGCACTCGGTAAAGTCTCAAGACGCATAATCAGGATAATGAACTCGACAAGTCTCGTGCATTATCCGAACATGCGTGCGCTATAAACGCACTTGTAGACATGAATTATTTGTATGTGACTTTCTGAAACAAAATACTGCTGATATTGTTGCTCCTGCTGTTCGTTGATGATGTTGTTCGTGTTATCACCATTATCATTTATCGTTACACTTTTAACTTTATCATTCTCAACTGTATCAATTTTGCGACTATTGTTATCAACATTATTTTCTTTTTAATTTTTGTTATGGGTTGTATCACGTATAGCTTCATTGTTGAAAATATTTCCATTTCACTATTGTCAGTAGTAGAAGATTCATTATCTTATCATCAACTATTGGACTATTCTAATTCTAATCTTATTGTTGAATGTGACCACACACAACATGGAATTAAATGAAAAGGCAATATCTAGAGTACAACCACTCACGTTTTGTTCGTTAGAAGTGATAACTGCTAGGTCTCCGCCTAATGATCGACAATATGCCATAGCATCACTGTATGGTCTACCAGGCTGGTGTACGAGAAGATACTGGTTGTTACCAAATTCCAACCAATCAGGCGTGTTGCATATCTGAGCACTTCCTGCATCGAAAAAAATGATGCAGTAAAACTTAGGTGAAAATTGTTGTGGCTGTATATTGTATATGAAAATTAAATTATATACTCTGCATCGAATGAAGAAAAAAGGACATTTTGATAAAAAGTAATTTTAGCCCACAAGATCGCAAGAGCCAGTAATCAACTAAACATTGTTGGCAATTTCTTTCTTTTTTTCTTCAATCTGTATTAAGTGTTGTTTATAAAAAACAATAAAATAGGTGTTCAGGGACGAATCCAGAATTTATGTAAAGGTTAGGAAAAACACTAATTAGAGAAACAATGTATAAAAGGGTTTTCACATTTTTGATGTGCATTTTGAAGAAAAAGTCCGTGATAAAGGGGTAATCACTATTTTCAGGTGCATATTTGTAAAGGGGTGGACACACTGTCCCCAATCCCTTATATAGACAGGGCATGCAATTGCTACAAAAAAAAACATTACCCAACCTATTCTGATCAACAGATTATGCTCAATTGTGAACCATAGACAAGAGGTTGTAAAAACTGTTGGTCCCTGCCTTTCTATTAAAGGCAGGCTTTACTACATCAGCCAGAAGGGATTAGACCGCCAAGCGAGCCAGCGAGGTCACTGTGACAGGTGCCTATCTCATTAACTTAGCTCTCATTTAACATAAGAAAAAGAGGATCATGGGGGACCAACAGGCACCGATTGGGGAAGTTTTCTATATAGAGGGAGCAAGTAGCTACAAGTAGGACAGTGTGCCTTTAATTTAAAACTTAATAACGGACACACACACACACACACACACACGCCCAAGCACACATACACACACATACTTCTGATAGGCCTATCGCTCATTCTATTCTTTGTATTTTTCATGTTACACCATTTGTAAATAACATTGTTAACGAAACGCTTTGTATTTTATAGATTTATGTCAGTGAAATTTTGTTTGGAGTATTCCTACCTTGTCCTGTAACTAGAAACAGAAGTGATATGACTACCCATAGTGTTGAAGTGAGAAGTGACTTCAGAAAATGAACTTTCGAGTATAAACCCATCATAGCTCCTGATACCAATCCTTGCACTGCCTGAAGATGACGATACAGATTATTCTTCTACAAACTCCAGCAGGGTTGAATACATTCCATAGCTTGATGAAGTCAGTCGAAGAACAGTCTTGTAGGTTGCTGCACAAATGTGTATATTCCCAGCTCATCAACTTGTTATGTATTAGCCATAAGTGAAGTATGATATATGTGTAAAGTGCATTTTAGCCAGAATTTAGTTCCCTGTTTACTTCCTCAAACTTACACCACACATGTACATGACTCTAGAACGAGCAATCTATGGCTGTTTATCGATGGATGTCCGGTCCTTAGAAACGGTTTATTTTGCCAACGAATATTAGTTATTTGTTTTGTTGCATGCACTGTGTTTCTGCACAAGGTCATAATATTGTACAAACATGGGCATAAATGCTTTGATAAGTAATTGCGGTATCATTTGAAACAAACCAATGTTATTGGGAACAAGGTGAATGCTTGACGCTATAAAATTAACATCAGTAAAAAGTGTTTTATACTTCCAAGCAAATAATAACTCACTCTGATAAACAATATTTGTTTATTCAAGGACAATTGGTATTGTCGACAGGCGTTAATTTTGTTTTTGTATGTGAATTATTTATCATTAAAGGGGAATCCTACCCAAATATTTCGTTGGTTTTATATGTGGCCAGTAGAAGGTGAGTCAAAAATGTAAATATACTTCTTCATATGTAGTGATTTTATATATTTTTTCTTTTTTAATTGTTTGATAGAGAGATGAAGGACATGTAACAAAAGTGGAATTGTAATTTTCATACTTCATTAACATGTTCAATCATAAAGATATTATGACAATATAACAACAACTTCACACAACGAAATTGCCATATTTCGTATAAGAAACTGTTTATTGTTATACACTTCTGACTATAAGAACAAATTATCGTTTCATGAATCTATCAACCGAAACATCCATATTTATTTGTTTCCACACATCTTGTCTGTGTTGCAACTACCGAATAATGTTTCTTGTAAATGGAGTAATCCAACTTGATAAAGTAACATGAAACATATTTTATTCATTTTAAAAGAATAAAGTATGTACGCACGCATATCGGCCAATGGAAAAACGAATTCTCTCCTTAGCTAAATCAGCTACTAAGAAACTGGACCACAATCACATTTAACCAAAAGATTCCATATATAGACATATACATTAAAGATCAGTAATATCATCCATTTTCAAATTACCTTGGATGAATTATACGTAGAATGATTTATTATATCAAGAGTAGTATCTCATATCTCTGAAAATATAGCTTTAAAATGGAAAAGAGAATTGATTTACTCTATATTTTACATAAATCATTAATATATGGTTTGACAATGGCCAAGGTGATGAAATGCCCAGGTAATATGACGATGTTTTTGTTAAAATTGTGATACAATGTTGTACCTTGTTGCTAAAGAAGTAATTGGTTATATATTCAAGTAAGTTCATGCCTTTGTTTATCACAGTAGAAAATTATATTTTATGTATGAAGCAGAGTCATATTAATTCTGCAAGATTAGAAATAAGAACGTGTTCCATGAAAGATCGTCATGAATGAGGACAAGGTGAATACTTTCCCAACTGACATCGTTTTCAAGTTTGCTCTATCGCTATTCTCACCAATGAAAGGATTAATTTAGCTGTAATGTTATCATAATGATTATTATATTCTTCTCCCGCAAGACCCGACCTAAACTGGGCATAGACGTATATCATCAATAGTGATCTGTCAGTTTATGACAGGTTCAGTGGCCCATTCAAAATTCTATATCAAGTGTCTCTCCAAGTTTCTCTCCAAGTTCCTCGGTCTTGAGCCAACCGTTTCATCGTTTCATACCCTGTTGCTCCACATTGTGTGATAACGTACAGCAGTTGCGTTTAACACCTTATGTCAGGATCCACAAAATGCGTAGATTTGGAACACATAGGCTCGTATCCTGCTCGAATTCAAACCCATGCTTGGGTTTAACAAAGGAATTTAGCCCGAGGTCTAAGGTTTCCTTTTCTTAAACTTGATCTTCTACTCCAGGTCACCTATTATCTGTAATAATTGATTAGATGGCAAACTATTATGTTCATACGGGAAACACATAAGGCATACAACGTACTTTCATAATTATGACGACCATTACTTTCTTAAGTGCATAACCAAAGATTTTCAAGTGTCTTCATTCGACTTAAAATTCGTCATGAATTTAACTTGAATAGTTTTATAATCATATTTGAATTACTGTTAATAATTTGAACCTAATAACATTTCTATAAACATGATTTTAAAAAATCTCAATACTTAATACAAATATTACACGGTACATATAAAAACAATGAAAATCTCTGATTACATGACGATTTATGAACATAATGTTTTTTTTTATCTAATCTTAAATTGAACAAAAATAAACAGCTCCATAAACAATATTCAGAATGATACAAAAACATTTCTGGAATTGCATGGGAATGACAAGAACAGAATTTATCGTTTATTTTCCTGTTTTAAATATTGATAATTTGTTCATTCAACATAAATACAGATATAACAAAAGATAATATCTCTACACGAAGTTCAAAGAATGATGAATATACAAAGCATAAATGAATAATTGAAGGACAAAATGCAACTACATTTCAATGAAATATACATTTATTATACAAACAGGCAACGAGCACATCAGCACGAAAACCAGCTGCATGCATCAGCATATCAAAGGTCGCAGAAAACGAGAATTTTATATGAGGCTATCAAATAACCCGATATTGCCAAAGTAGAGTTGATTTATTAAGAACAAATATTGACACTTATCGACACTTATTGACACTTATGCACACTTATTGACACTTATTGACACTTATTGACACTTATGCCTTTTTATGGACACTTATGGACACTTATTGACCAACAAAAACAAAACATATACCTTTCTCACTGAAAAAAGGAATCGTCCCAACTACACACTTTGTAAACCACAGATTTTACTTTTTTTGTGTATTTCAAGGATTTATTAACATGATTGGAAAAAAACCTTAGAAAGATCATAATATAGGCATGGCGGATTTAGGGGGCAAAGGAGAGAAAAAAAAGCATAATCTTGAGTTCATATCTATTTCACAATTATTTTTCACCAGTTCGCGAGTACATTTTTATTCAATTCTTTATTTCTGAGATATGTACAGGGTGGCACATATCACCAATTTGGTGGTCTTCCGTGAGGCCTTGTTTGGTAAGAATAAAACAGCAGCAAAAACAAAATATATAGATAAATACACAAGCATATTAACAGTTATAATACAAACTATTTGGTATCCTCATGAAAAACCTGATCATTCTCGTATTTTTACTGCTGGTATTTGACAACTTCATAAACAGCATCCCTTTGTGCGTTATCTCCCTCAGCTGCAGGAGGCGCTACGTCCACAATAAAGTCTCTTTCAGCTAGGTTTCCATGAGAGATTCCCTCATCGGCGCCATCTTGGATTTGCTCGATTTCGTACACGCTCTCGCCCGCTGGAGCCAGGGGGGGGGGGGGGGGCAGATCTAGCTAGAGTCGACGCTCCCATAGGTATGTTCGTCTTCGATCGGGACTGACAGTATTTCGTACTCGTCGGCAGACAGATACTCTTTAATCAACTCGTAGATGAATGCAAATTCTTCCTACATTAAACAAGATGAAAGTGAAAATGTGTGAAAATCACACCATTTTGTCGTAATAAATCGCACAGGCCTAATTTTACTTCATATTATAAGCTATCATATCATGTCATATGTATCACATTGTATGATATCATGGCAATGATTATGACAACATAGTCATACTTGCATATTGGGCATATACCAATTATGCATGTGACACAAACCCTTGACAACCGCAGTAGTAGACAATTCTACCAGAAGGACCTGAGGACACACATTTTTGTTCGCTTTTGGTTAATCTTTCTGCTTAATATCGGTAGATCCGTTCCGACCCTCCCCCCCCCCCCCCCGCCCCCACACACACAGCAATATGATCTGGTGATCTGCTAATACCTCGGTTTCTACGAAGTGCATCCTCTCATTTCGCAGCATCTTGACCGTTTGGAAGACATCAACAGCGTCCTCTTCGTTTATCTGTGCGATGCACTCAAGCATGGTACAGAATACACCTGTTCGACCCACTCCGTTCCTATGTATTGAAAGAGAAAAAAATAAGACTAAATATTATCGCAAAGACTTTAACAAAATGGAAACAATCACTATGAACATGACGGACAAAGAAAGCGGACAAAATATACAGTTCCTCAGGTAACAAAGGAACATCCCTTCACTGCTATTATGTAAAACTGTGTAGAACAGGTGAATATGCATGTGACACCTGTTTTAAAACACATTTTAACATAATAGCAGTGAAGGGATGTCCCTTTGTCGACCTGAGGAACTGTATATTTTTGTCCGCTTTCTTTGTCCGTCATGTTCATAGTGAATATCATTATCGTCACGCTTTAAATGGGCGTAAATGGCAATGACATAATATGCAGTCTGAAGAGAAAACCAGATTAATATTGAAACTTTTCTTCTGTTAACTTCATGAAAGTCTTTGTGATCATGTTAAGAGAATGGGATGACGCGTTAACTGACCACGAGGCAAAGAAGTGGAGAAAGGTCTTACAGTGGAAAACATCCCGTCCCTCAGATAGGACGTTAAATGGAGGACCCGTGTGGATGTAAGTAACACACCTGTACGAACTACTATGTTCGTACTTTAACAAAATACAACTATTCAATAGACCGGCATCATTGTTAGAAAAGGGTGGGTTCTGGTATAAAGGTTAAAAAAGAAATTGGGAAACTCCCCATTGTAGAAGAAAGACATCGAAGAAATGTATACTAAACAGTAATGTTTATACTAATGGTTCTTAACTTACAGGCAGTGAACCAGGACAGGAAACCCCTCTGCAACTCCACTAAAACTGTCCTCCACTTCTGTCATAAGATTCAGAAGATAAGGCGCGCGGTCCCTTCGTTCCTCTGCCTTAGTAGGCCAGTAGATGAACTGATACTGCTTTACAACATGGCGAGCCTTGTATAAGAAATAATGATCCTAGTAATAACGTCTTTGTATACGTATTCAACATGGTATTTTGTACTTCAATGTTTTAATCTGTACGAAGTTAATCCAGTCCGGGGTCCTACTTATACTCTATTTCTGTCTTGTTATGATATATTCATTGCACTTTGTTTAATGATCAGGGCCTTTCAACCATGGATAGGCCCGGTCGCGTTATTTTTATCGGCGGCACAGATTGGGGTTAGGTGCGTGTTGAGCCTATGGGACAGTTTAGGGTTAGGGTTAGGGTTAGGGTTAAAGCCCCAATCTGTGCCGCAGAAAAAAATGACGCGGCCCGGTCGGGGGTCCGTATGCTTTGCTTTGCAGCCCAACTTTTTAGTTTGCCCCCGTTCGGTGTGGCAATTGATATGCCGATCGGTTAGCAGTACTGTATTGTTTGTTTACTTTTTACTTGGCGGTATTCACGATCCATGAACAACTGGTAAATGAAATAGAATGCTTATTATTTTCATCATGTTTTATCTGTCTGAGCTTTTTCTAGATTTTCGTTATCATTATCATTATTAAATTCAGCATTTTCTCTCTTACGGTGGGGGCGGGGTTACTGACTTTAGCGCCATGATTTCACCGCCTCTTCTTATCTCGAGCATCCTCCTCATTATTAACAACCACTCTGCTTTATTTTTTCACCAGACCTTTCCATTTCATATTCGGTCTTCTTTTTCCTCTTATGCCGTCCACTTCCTGATCCAGGTTCATCATCTCCCTTCCCTAACACATGACTCATCCATCTCAATTCACTTCTCTTTACCACTTCCACCGCAGTTTGTTCCAGACCCAACCTTTCCATGAGCTCACTTGTGTTCTTTCACACCACGAATCTTCCGTATCATGATTATTTATGTTCTTAATCGTGTTTATGTTATCGCTGTTCTACTATAAGTCTTATATATCTTGCCTTTTATTCTCATCGTAAACCTTCTTACAGTTATAATTGAGGCCAGATTATTAATATTTTTACCAAATTGAACTGTTGTCAATTGAAATGCATTGCAAGTTGTGAACAAAAATGAATACATTCATATTAAGGAATGTTTCAATTTATGAGTTTACTTTACGTTTACAACAATGGGGGGGGGGGGGGGAATATTTACCTTTGGGTTGTTCTGAGTAACCTCTATCTCTCTCTCGATGAATCCTCTTCTCTCTGAGACAGACAGCGTGGTGACAGAGACAGATCCGAAGGTTGTTACACCCTTGTCAGACCAGTATCGTGCACAGCTCTATGAAGGAGTTAAGAAAACACATCGATCACGACAAATTAGGATTGAGGTGTGGCCTTAGGCTAATAAATATACTTTAAAAATATCAAACCTTTTCTTCAATTATAATGATTTCTCTCTCGGAAGTTCTACCACGGCAAGTCCACACTAGAGCCATATTGTTAGTTCTTTCTCCAGCTCTCTCTATCTTGAGCCTTCCTTATCATTTCATATGTTTTGTAAGCTATTTATAAGTCTGACATCTCACCAATATATGCCACTTTTGAGCACTTGTACAAATGACAAACATATCCATAGATCTTTTTCAAGTGGAGACGTCCCACTTTGTGCATTTCAAAATAATTACTTTCAAAGTGATGATGGTGCCCCATGAATACCTTCTGTTTGTCCTCTTAAAAGACTACTTTCACCTGTACATTATAGAATGTGCCGTCGGCACATATTAAGTAAATACATTTTAATGAACCCGTTTTCAACAGTTATCTTGAACGGTTTTACAGTTTTTTTTTTAGAATGACCTTTATCTGTCCATACGGAAAAAGTGTATCCAAAGTGTCTTATTCTTAGTCTATCCCCCGTTTATTATCGATCTTCCCTTCCTAGATGTCTATAAATATCTCCCGTAAGATATTTCACATTATGTTTTAATTCAGTGTCTCTTCTCCCGTCTCCAGTATGGAGGTAAAATGAAACTTGGTGGAGGTGTCATGTAAGACATTGATGCACATTAGCCACTCTCCACCACCAGGTGTCAATTTAGTACCTGGCATTAGTGTTGGGGTGTAAGAATCGGCCCTCTGGAGTAACAGCACAGAATTATTATTATCCTTATTGTCATTATTGCTGTCATTATTATTATTATCATGATGATTATTATTATCATTATTACGTTTGTTGTTGTTATTTTCACTATCATTACTGTCTTTATTTTTATCATTATAATTAGTAGTAGAAATATTGGTACTATAATCATTGTGAACAAATCTCGTATTATTCCACATTTCTTACCTCGTTACTTTTATCATCATCGTTGAGCATGACGATGATGGAGGGATGGTAGTCGATGACCATGGCCCAGAAATCAGCTACGGTGTTCGGCATCGGCATCTGCGTGGTGATGAACCTGTGTCGAATACCCTGTACGAACGACGACAAAACCAAACCAGTTGGTATGCATTGGTAATGAATAAATAAGAAGAGAGTTACTGTAGAATGACCTAAACAAATTGTGTAAACACTTTAAAACACACACCAACACACGCTCCCACTTTCTCTCAAAGAAACACACGCACCTCAAACATATATGTCATCTGATATTCTATATGTTACCATTGTAAATTATCACATCGTAATTTCGATGTGTCGTACGTACCCTTCAACAAACAAAATTATAGTAATTCTGCAAAGAATTGCCAGAATTCACGAAGTTGGTTTATCTGAACCCCTGAATTAAATCGCGTTGTTCATTACGAACCAACGGGCAATAGACGTGTTTTGGGGAAGTTTAAATAAAGTTTAAAACTGTAGATTAAATTTAAAATCATTTGTTGATTTTAACCAAAGTGTATACCAATCGTTGTATGTAGAATATTTAGTCTAGACCTCCGACGCGGTGCTATTGGTAGACTAACCTTCACGAAGCTCGCGTTGACGAAGTCCGAATCTGAAGAGCCCCTAGACTGAAGGATGACTCGGTTCCTGTCCACTGGTTGTTTGTTTGTTGATATATTGGAAATAAAGGTGGAAAATTAATAAAACAATATGGAATTAACCCTTTATTTACCATGAGTGCTGTTCGGCACAAGAGGATTAATTTAACATAAATATATTAACACCCCCGCCCCCCTCTAGTGAAGATCACCCCCATCTCTAAAATTGCATGTAATTATACCATGTTTGGATTCCTGAACAAGTGAAGACCTTTTATAAGTTATAAAGCATCGAATGGGTGAAATTTAAACGCTACATGAACAATTACAATGTTTGTTTACTTGGAAGGCTGTTGGTGTAACGGCTCTTCGAACGATTTTCTGTCTTCGTAGCAGTTCTGATCAACGAGGCTGGAGGATCAGGACAAACGACCATCATGTTCTACAAAGCACAAAATGGAGATAGATATTAACATAAAGGTTTGCCATGGCGACCTGAACTTGGCTCCTTTAAATTACTTTGTTCAAGGCTTTATCTCGTTGGGGATATAGGATAAGTTTGCAGTTGGGTTTTAACTATGTTAGGTTTAGGGATTGGGCTGTACAGGTGTGGTTCAGTGTCGGGTCCAATATTGGAGTTAATAGTTTGCTACAGAATGACCATGGACAACTGCATTGGTATTACAATTCTACCTATGGATACAAGTGTCAGTGCAACTTCTGTCAGGTTGTAAAGAAAATAGTGTTTTTGAGGTATCCAAAATCCCCTTAACTCAATAAAACAAAAACACTTCACCGGGTATACCGATTCTTGAGCATACTTAACCCAGCCTTCCCGATTGCTTCAGAGATATTCTGTCACTATAACCTTGATCGGAGATGAACTTTGTATCTTACATATTTCTTTTACCTGGAATAGAATATTAACAAGCTTAATTTGCATTCAAGCAGAACTGCGGATTCTTGGGAATTTGGGCCGTTAAAATAGCCTTCACCGGGGAAAGAGTACATTTTACCTCAAACTGTATAGACAATAGTGTGCATCTTCTTTTGCTGTTTCTAGGAACTTCTTGAAGATTCATCAGGGTGGAGTCGAAGTGGGAAGCCTGGATCCTGGTATCTTCGGAGAACAAAGCTTCGAGCACGGCCACGTACACAAATGTATATTGCTCCTTTAATTTAAAAAAATATATACAGTATGACGAGATGTGCTTGAATATGTAAATAATGGGGGGGGGGGTGTCATATGGAAGCAAACCATCACAGATGGATCCACCCAAGGGGATATTCATGGCGCCTGCATGTTAGTTTTATTACACTGATTATAGCCCAGCTGCCCTCAGACGCTCAAAGCTTTAAAGACCGTCAATACTACTGGGCCAGAAGGGATTAGCCCACACAGCGAAGTCACTGACAAGCGGCTATCTCATTAACTCTGCTCTCAACTAACATAAGAAAAAGAGGATCAAGGGGGACCAACAGGCACCGATTTCTATGTAGAGGGAACAAGTAGCTACAAATAGGACAGTGGAGCTTTAAACGAATGGGTTTCTGCCAGGTATCCATTTATGACACAAGTGTTGAGATTTCCAAATGTAGAATTAATACACTAGAACAGCGGGGTCGCGATGGAATTGGAACCAAGACCCATATGATTCCAAGTTTGGTTATGTATCCACAAGACCACGACACCTCTATCATAACTCATATCTATATGTGACTTGTAACATATATCCCTGTAGAAATAAGAAAGTAAAATTTTAGTACGTTATATTCTACCTTTGTTTGCACCATGTAAGGTCGGTTTTGTCTCATCTTTGACACATAACCGAAGATATCGACCTCCTTGGTTCTCTTCGCTTCAGCTACGACACTGTCTATACTCAACAGTACACCCGTCCGTCCAACGCCAGCACTGAAGGGACAAATGGTGGACGAAAACAGCACAATAAAATGTCAATAGAACGAAAATAGACTTCCGGTAAAAATGAAAAGTAATGTTTGAGAGATATCTCATTTATTAAACAATGATAGCAATATTTCGTTCTTGGATAGCACAAATCATATCATGAGTATCATAGTAATAAAATCGCCCTGAAAGGTTTGCCCTCGTACGCTTTTTGTTCTAAATATGACGAGCAAATAACTGCAAAGTTTTATCAAAGCTTTCATTCCCCATGCACGTTTAGTACAATGTGCTCATTTATGTGTGCAGTCTTTGAGGTGGCTTTCATTAATGAGTCATTTTCTTTTCACTTTTATCATTTCAAAACGTTACAGAATGTACATCAATTTATAATGTGCTACGAAATAAAATTCCCCAATTGGTTCTAGATAGTTTCTTTCGCAATAAAATCGCTTTACCAATTCTCGAATTTTAAATTAGTTTTAAGTTTGCAACGTAAAGGCATCAGGTTTATAATAGGGTTCTAGGACACCTACCCCCTGGACATCCAACCCCGGATAACCACCCCAGCCAACTACCCCCTAGGACACCTACCCCCGGACAACTACCTCCTTGGACAACTACCCCCACAACTACACCCGGACAACTACCCCACAGACAACTACCCCTATGACAACCATCCTCTAGCCAGGACAACTATCCCCCGTTTAACTAAGCTATGAGGTAGTTGTCAAGGGGGTAGTTGTCCTAGGGGGTAGTTGTCCTGGGGGTAGTTGTCCTAGGGGGTAGTTGACTGGGGGTAGTTATCCGGGGGTGGATGTCCAAGGGGTAGGTGTACGGATACGCTATAATAGGAATCGAAATTTTGCTCTTTAAAAACAAATAATTATTCGTTTGTATTCGTTTAATCTGATTTATTCATGGATTCATTTATTTGGGTTTCCTTTTTTTGTGGGGGGGGGGGGGGTTGGGTGTGAAGGGGTTATGGTTTTTTTTCTTCTTTATTATCCGTATAATTATTAAACTTACATATATATAAACATAAGTTAACAATTATTATATACAAATACGTCATTATGGTGGGGGGGTGGGGGGGTTGGAGTACAATTTTGAATGGCTAATTTGTATCACGACCTATGCATGAAATGTAGAGTGACCTGCAATGAACCAGGAGTGGAGAGCTATTTAGTCCATGGTCCTTCCGCACCTCAGAGATAAACTTCAGCAGAGTAGATGTGTTGTTAGGAACTGCTTGGAGTGGCCACTCCGTGAAGTGATATTGGCTTACAACCCTGGTGTTCGCCCCCTGAAAGAAAGGCATTTTTATTTCACAGACTTTCGAGAAATAACTTTACTGATATCTCTGATTTCTCTGACAAATCATGATGGTCGGATCAGTGGGATCATTGTGTATCCGTGGACCAGATAAGTATCCCTTTGAAAATACATAAACGGGCAGAGATAAAAGCAACATAGCCCCGAACTCATTGATAACTATGTTGCTATCGAGGGTATTTGTTTACCTATTTACAGTAGACATATGGGTCCTGATTTTGACGTGTCAAAGTTTAAAATAACACAAATTAATACATGAACATTCTCTTTAACACCCCCCCCCCCTCCCCGGGGAAAAAAACATTCATGAAATCTATGAACGCATCACCTCACTGCTAAAAGGACATTATAGCCATTAAGAATTCATGTTGACAGTGTCCTTTATAGCAGAAAGCTGACGAATAAGGGAGCACGAATGGAAAAAAGAAGGATGTATGTCGCTACGTACCTTCGTCAAGAACAGTGTTCGCTTTAATCCTCCGGTACAATTTGCGACAGAATCCAATGCCACTAAGAAGTCCCCAAAGTTTACAGAGGTCGACTGCGGCCAGTATTGACGGCATTTAATCTGGTTGATAATGTGATAAAACTAATATTATTAACATCCATTGATTAGAGCAATTACAAATAAAAATAAAAATGTACATATTCAAACACATTAACTGAGAGTAAAAAATAAGGAATATAGATAATGTAATCTATCATAAAAACACGCACATTAAGCCTCACATAACGCACACACACACACAGACGCACACACTTCACTTTAATTCAAAACATTTCAAATAATTCTTCAAAACTTACGATTTTTTAAAAGAGTGAAATCAGTTATAATATGAAACAATCATACCCTATCGCTTACTACCCAACCTCAAACAAAACGACTACCATCTGCAACTCACTCATCCTCTCATGTGCACACACACACACACACACACACACACACGCACACACAGGCTCACAATCACGCACATTCGCGTACACACACAATGATAAATACGGCACCTAAGATTAAACGAAGAACTTATTAGTCTTTGAAAATGACGGATCTTGATTTTAACCATATCGTGATAACTAGATAAATAACAACTACCCACCTTGTTTCCCTCTTGGAGTTTGGTCACCATGGCTATTGTTTTCACATTCTCTTGCCACACCATCCGCCAGAAATCATCCATCGATTCATTCTTTGGTCCTTTATAAAAGAGCGGAGATATACATTAATCAAAACAACAGGACTGCATCATTATCAAAATATTGTGATGTGAATCCCTTTATTCATAAGACAGCTAATCTTTTATTATGGAAACAAAAGAAGGCTTACCAAACGTTAATCAAAATTGTGTATGAATGTTATTTTGTCATCAACCAGGCGTCAACAAAATATATCCTTGTTTTTTTAAACAATTTCTGTTTACTGTGAACTATGTTTGAGCCTTATATGTACATGTGAGCGCAACAAATATCCATGTCAAAACGTATATTGGACAAATAAATAAAATACATGAAATGAAAATCAAATCTCAAGGATATGGGGACCATGACTTCTCATCCATTGCTCCTCGTTTACTAAACTCACTCCTTCATCCCTTCGTGAGATTGGCAGTCTAGAAAACGTCAAATTGTGTCTCAAAAACCTACTTTTTTGGCAAATGTAAAAATAAGGTCTTCATTGCAGCAGCCTGCGCCTTTGAATGTTTTTAGTGAGAAATGGCGCCAAACAAATGCTGTGAGTTATTATCGTTATAATGCTTTATTATACAAAAAATGTATGCAAACAGTACCCCCCCCCCCCTCGAAAAAAACAAAGACAGCGGCGGAGTGTGATAACTTTACCTTGTGACGCAATGTACGCACGCTGATTTCCAAAGCTCTGAAGGGCATAGAGGGAGAGAGAGAAAGAAACAAATAGAAGCAAATATGTATTGAAAAGGCAATGTATTCACGCTGGATTCGAAAGATCTCATCGGGAAAAATTGTTAAAAAAGAGAAAAGGAAACAACTATATTGCAAACAGAATATCCTGTTAGATGAGAAAGAGCTAGGCTAAGACACAATTTCATTGTAAAAACAGTACGGGGGAAATAAGACAACAAGCAATACTTATCTCTCAGAATGTCTTTTAAAGGGTGTTTGTTTGTTTGTTGTTTGTTTGTTTTTATTTCCGAAATCCATATATACATACAAGTTTTAAAAAAACATACATATAAAACACATTTCAAACGATAAGAAAGTAAGTAAATGTGTAAAGTATAGACAAACGGTTGGATAGCCCATTTCAGAACCATTTTTAAAATGGTCCTGTTCTTCCATGTAACTATTTACCGGTATGTAAGAAGCATTGATGTAATCTGAATCCGGGTCGTTGTTGATGATTGCCAGCTTAACCCTTGAGAAATCATCTATGGTGAAGTTTAAAGAGGGATATATATTTTCACATTTCCTCATATTTCGGTATTAAAAAACGAAATTACACGCATGGCAAATATATATATATACTCTTATAGACCGGTCACATTTGTCATATATTATCCATCTAAAATAAAATGTTGAATTTATCTCTGAAAGATAATGCAAATATTATAGATACGAAAATAGATAAAGGTTCATCAGATTAATTCACAAGAACGAGGGTATATCTGTATTCTTGATAGCATAATCGATAACTGGAAACGTTGACGTCGCTTCACGGACTTGGTTTAAGCACACATTTATCACCGACATAAGTTACACTGAAAAGTATTTACGCGTACCAATGGGAAGTCGGCGAACTTGTCATTATGAGGGTTTTTTGAAACAATGCCTCATTACCTAGACAGAAAGTGAATTGAAGTGTCATATGTATGATGAGAGAACTTACATGGCAGGATGTTCTTGTATCTGTTCTTCTCAAAATTGACCTGCTTTTTCGCAACGGTTTGTGGGAAGATATTTGCGCCTGGTAAGCACTGTGTTGGGAAAGATTCAATTACAACGTTTTCGTAGTCATACATTGCATACTTACTGCAGATCAAATGAGATGGATTTTATCGAGAGTATTTGATTTTACGTAATACATCTTACAGACTTACACGATTATACATACTTTCGAGAAATCAATTCAATGGTAAATTGTTATACCCTATAATGGATTACGTATTATTGCCCTTTGCACTTTTAAGTTGATCTTTGCGATTGAGTTATTTGCGCCTAAAAAGGAAGCCATTTCCGGTTCAAAAGGCTGATTTCACTTATATGTAGGACTTCCCAGGTAGGGCATTATGACAGTTAAGTGTAACTGTATTGTCCCGTTAGTGTCGATTCATAATTAGTATCATTTTTTGTTCTCAATGTTTCGTTCTTTTGTGTGGTTGCTAAATTATGTAAACATGGTAAAAGTTAGTCATACGGAAAGGCTGATCGAAAGACCAGCCACAGTATTATCATCAAGTTCTTCTAAGCCTTCAACATAGTGAGCATGTGGATATTCAGGAGAAACAAACGCAACAAGAAACCTGAATACGATAGGAGTAAAAGAGAAATACTTACAAGGAATTCCTCGTAGAACACGTCTGTGTGTCTATTCTTCTGAACGAGGGTAGCAAACTGTGAGAGGGGTATCGGGCGACGCTCCTTTGGCCATTCCTCCGACCTACTGGATTTTGGTACATCAACCTCGTCCAAACCGTTTTGAGCCAATGGTGGTTCAGGCATGGTGGATGCTTTTTGTAGGACCATCGGTTTCCTCGGTGTCACGGTTGGAGTAGACTTTGATGTACCTGAATTTCGAGTTACATATTTGGATATGTTTGAAATGGCGAGAAGGTGGTTGCAAAGGCTGTACCTAGCTGACATGCATAACTTGCAATTGTTACAAACAACGAAACCATAACTAGGCTAGACTGCAGTATATTGCTAGGCGGAATTATACCCAGGGCCGTAGACAGAATATGATGTTGTTTTTTTTTTTTTTGGGGGGGGGGGGGGTGGGCACATACATGTAATCGATCGACGTCCTGGGGAGGGGTCTAAAAAAGTTCAACCGATCTTGGACATTTTTTTAGGAGCACGTGCCCCCCCCCCCCCCCTGTAGATACGTATACCTATATAATAATAATGTATTTTTGACAACTCCTATTTCGGAGAAACAGGTAGAACACTGAAGGTCGATTGAAAGAACACAAAAGAGTCCTCAGATTGAACACTCTATCTCATTCAGCAGTAGCAGAACACGCCCATAACAATGGACACATCATTGGATGGGATGAGGCCCGTTCTATTGACTTTGAAACAACTTCTTGTCAAGGAAGTTAAAAGAATCCATTTGGATAAAAAAGACCAATCCTTCACTGAATAAAGACTGTTGCTATTTATTATTACCTGTCTTCAATCTCATGATCTCGAGGCAGCATGCAGACAGCAGGAAACTCTGTTAATAATCATTTGACTTGAGAAAGTCCACAGGAGTAGATGAAAGCTTACCTACTAATGTGTTGGTAGAAGCTTACACTACGTTTGGCATCTATTTTGTTATCTCTTATTGAATATTAGTTTCACAATCATATATCAGTGTCCCCACGAATAATATAACCCTTGTATGGCCATTCGATACACTGAATACCGGGTCCTTTCCATACACATAATGAGACTAACGTGCGTTATAGGACCAAAGCTGCGATGTGCGATTTATAATGGATTTGGTGACATTATAGGGCCACGCCAACCCCCTCCAAAATAGAAAATGGTCGATTGGTGCAACAATAGGCTATCATGCTTTCCGTGTGATACCTTTACTATTCTCGATGAGGCGGAACAATAATTATGATCCATTTGGTCCTACGCTAGAGTATTTATTTCCTTATCAATTCTCGCTACTGCATATAGCTTACAAGAAGCCACCGTTAGTGGCACTCTATCGCAGGGATTTTGTTGTCACATGCACTTCCGGTCAAAACGGGCCACACTGTATTGGACTCACACTTCACCGTCAATAGGACCAAGAATGAGAAAACGTAGTTCTGCCAAAATTTCCTATGATGTAAATTCATTAAACATGGCTTTCGGTATCTTCAAATATATGACCCTGCTGTATATTACGGGAAACACTTAAAAGTTGACAATAGCTCACAATCGTGGCTTGTGAAAAAAGCACTTGTGTTGCAGCGTGCCAGGTATTTTCGGAAAGAATTTCTCCGAGCACTGACATTTGCCAATTCTGGTATATTACTTTTAATTAATAAATATGCTTATTGCTTGTGCATATTTCAAAGTTTGTTATTGTCGAGAAAGATTAAGAATTGCAGATAATGAATTATTAGAATATCGTAGTATTTCGGAATACGTGTATAGAATCACCGGAAGTTAGTGCGTCTACAAAATCGGGCGCAATGCATTATGCGGTAGTGAGAATTGTCCATAGGAATTGATGTTAGGGCGCCCCTACTCCTATGCGTAGGACCTAATTCAATGTGCGTGGGATAGGTGGTGTTTTAAACTGAAAAGTGTCACCGGTGCAGAAAAAGATAATGTGATGGACATACCTCCGGATATGCCACCGATATAATCGTTATCATTCTTATAGGTGACCGGTTTGGAGCCTTCGTTGCGTGGTTTTCTACAAACAAGAATATATGATAAAAATGACGATCGTCGTGATGATAATAACGATTTTTAATGTATTTATTTTCCACACATGGGATAGATTGCCCTTGTTAGTTAAAAGCTGTTTTTCAAAGTGGTCCAATATAATGACAATAACGATAATGACAATGATGATAGGAACTATAGTACTGATGATGTGTATACTGTCCACTACTACTACTATTACTAATCATCAAAATTATAGTAATCATGATAATAATAATAGCAATACTGATAATAATAATGATGATATACATTGGTATCGAATACTTAAATGCGCTTTTTACCAGAGACACAATAGCGGTAAAAGTGTTAGGGGAGGAAAATCACAAAACATAAATAGATGAATGGAGAAAATCAGATTCCCACGTAGGAAAGGGGTATCTTATATGGGATCTTGGGATTCTTGGGTTTCTTTCAAAAGTTTTTGAGCTGATGTGACTTTGGACTATGATGGAACATTTAGATTGAATTTGTAGTTTTTGAGCTTAGATTTCAAGATGATCTAAATGACTGTACCTATCGCTAGGAATCAGGATCTCACAGACTGCAGAGAAATCAATACAAGGCAACCATCAACATTGTGAAATGTGTGAGCATCGCAATGATATGATTTCTTTAAAGTCCTCGCGATCTTGTGGGGATGCAAGATGCGAGGTGAGTAAGGGTTTACAGACATACACATTTGTTATTAAATAATGTGTTTACCTTCTTCTCCGTACTACAATGATGACGATGATGACAATAAGCAGTAGAAGGAAGATTAGTCCTCCTGCTGCCCCACCAGCGATGGCGCCAATTGCAAAAGAGCCAGGAGGGGGTGCTATGGATTAAATAAGGTGTAACATTAAAACATTATTTGGTAGAACATATGGGACATTTAACGAATAACGATATTTTCCTACCGAGTTCTTGTCTCCATTGTATCATGGGAATGCCCGGACATCTCATTGATTAGTTCACACGGACCACAATGATAACAATACTAACAATAATGATAATGATCAAAGGAATTATAACAATGATAAAAGCTTTAATAATGATAATAATAATAATAATAATACTGATTATGGTGATACACACTCAGCAAAAAATATGTACACACCTTTGTTTTCAAAAAATGCTAATTGAAATGTATGAAATAAGAGAAAGAAATGATGCTCCACCAACATCAATTAAGATCAAGTTTTCTACCTTTCACGCTTGGATGGGCACATGCGTCTAGCAGTTAGAAGGTTTGCTTAAGAAAATTGCTAAAATGGAGCAAATAGCTATTCAAATTTGAATGAACATGGGCATCTGTAAGACATTCGTGGTGATCGTGCTGTATGTGCTCCTAAACTCTGGAATAATCTCCCCATCTCTGTCCGTGAATCCCCAACTCTTGACATGTTTAAAAGTAGACTTAAGACTTATCTGTTCAACACAAAGTAACCCCATCTTCATACCGAATTTATAACCACATGTCCTATCTTCTTGTAATTTATTCATTATCCAAAGTACATAATTATTGCAGGTTGTTTTATGTTACTTAATTATAGTATTTTTAATTGCATTTTTCATTATCATGTTATTGTTATACACTGTTAGTTGAGTAATTCGTCCAAATTAAGCACAATGTTTATTTCACGTTTCTTGTTGATCCTTACCACATATTTAGTTTAACCGTAATTTCAATTTGTTTTGTTTTGTAAAGCGCTTAGAAACTGTATCAGTAGACCAGCGCTGTATCAATCTTAGATATTATTATTACTATTTAACAATGAAACAAACAATAAGAATCTATGACGAGGATGGAGCTCTGAATTTTAACTAGTAGCCTAATGACTGCATAGTTTGGAAGTATTGTGTAAAATTATTATGTATATTTCTTGACCAATGGTATTTTCTTGCTGACTTCTTCTCAACATTGCGTCATCGAAAAACTCGGATATCTCATGAATTATTCTCCACAGAAATTTAAGAAAGCTTTGTGTACGTGTTGCGTATATGTTGTTTGCACATAAAACCAAAATGCATCGGAATGGCCTGTATTTTTAAGAGCAGTTAAATATATTAATTCAGCCATGTTCACACGGCGTGTTAAGTCGCTTATATTGCAAAACACAAAAAGACAAAATCATTACAATAAACGATTTAAAAAACAACAACACTTAACACAAAACCTTTTGAATTACATTTTCAGTGCAGGCCAGGCTCAGTGATAAAAAACAACAACAACAAACAAACAAACAAAAAACGCAGCCGTTTGTGGTTCTATTCAGTCGCGGTAGTTCTTTCAACGCGGTTACCGCGTCCTTTGCGAACGAAGGCATAGCCTGCTGAAACTCCAGAAGTGCACTCTGTTGTACAATACCAAGCTTATACGTCAATTTCTTTCGGTTATACAACAATTGGACTGGGTTGTACGACAAATGCTCCAACTTCAACCCAAGACCCAACACTATACCTGGCCCTAATCATAGCCCAAGACTTGACTTAAAATCCACTTCCTTGCTTTTTAGGGGGAAAAAGCCCAAAGCAAATATCGGATCACAATCTGAGACATCTACTACACGTCATCCTAATCGTATCCTAAAATCTAACCTAAAGCCCAAAAGTCCAAACCCTATACTTTCCACGAAATACATTCCAATCAATTGTCGCCGGAGCAACTTTCGGTTCACCAAGGACTCACCTATTTTGAGAGTTATCACCCTCAGAGCAGGTCCTTTCTCTCCTTCACCGTTAAGTCCCTCACGAACTGCTGAAATTTGAATCTCATATGCTTGGCCATCACCCAGACCAGTTACGTTGTACATCAGTGGCCCTTCATCTGCTCGTCTTCTCTTCCTTAAGGACGCAATCCCTGAGGATCCCATCTCCATCGGAACACCTGATGATGTTATAAACGTATTTGTTTCGTTCCCATCTGAAGCAGTAACGTAGACCTGGTACCCAATAATTGGACCCTCACCAACATCAACGTTTCCGTTCCAAGAATCCCAAGCAATGATGACATAGTTGAAACCTAGTTCTGCTACCTCAGGCGCCTTGTTAAAGACCGGGAGAACTGAAAAGAACACATGACAAATGTTAATGATGCAGTTTATTTACACTTAACGGTAAATCTTACTTCCCCTTAAATAAATAATAGCAGCTTCAATAATTTGATATTTGAGTGGTAGTAAAGTCTAAATTCCAGATGAAACATGACTCTTGAACTTAAAATCCGGTACTCTGTTCGAAAATTGTGTGTGACTTCTTTAAATGTTGCACAAAATTTGATATGGACTTGTGGAACAACACAGATGAAATCATTCTTCTTGACTTGTCCTTATGTTATTCCAATGGACATTACCTATGCGGTTCTTGATAGATGTATATCGCTTTCTCTGAGGTCTTAGCATCCCCTTGGACAGAAGCCAATATGATACCTCTTCATAAAATTGATAAATTGATAAATTGTTTATATATCGTGAGATTTTTTTAGTTAAATTCATCATTTAAGCACTTACCGAATGTTTCAGGTGGTGGCAACCTGAAAAAAGCAAATCCAATATCACTTGTTAATGTGCCAACTAAACAGTAGATGGGTTGATTTCCGTTGACATTAACGGAAAACGTAAAGTTTGATTGTAATGAAGACTGATCAGTAGCAGTATCAACGGCCTGTGCGTTTTCCCAGTTTTCCATTGAGAAATCCCCTACAGTAGCCTTTGTGGAGGGGATGTTGCCACTTGTGTCGGTATCAAATGTGCAGGAAAAAATTGCAATACCCGGGTTGGTTTTTGCTCGTCTAACGCTAAAGCGATCTTCAAAGAAAAAAAATATGTACAATACATAATCTACAAATTTATGGATGAAAAATAAAATCATTGAAAAAGAAAATGATTAGATGTTAAGCTTCTTGTTTTTTTTTAACTGTCACTAATAGGACAATCCATTACATATTTAACCAAATATATTGGCCTTTAGATTACATCATTTTGATCTAAAGAAACATTTAGGATCAAACTATCAGCATAATTTGCACTGTTTGATGAAATTCATGTTGTAACCAATTGTTTTAATTTACTTTTCAGGGAATTTACGCATATCATTTCTCGCATTATATTGAGCGCCGAGTTTTTCTTAACAGTTGAATGAGAATACAAATGACATTCACCGACTTAGTTTAGAACTATTGAAAAATAGGAACGTTGGTTAAAGATAGAATGGCGAAATACCTTGGCTACGGTGCAAGACATCAGAGTCTCTTCAAGATTAGAATCTTTTTGAAAGGAAAAGTAGAAGGTAACAGACCAAGAGGAATACCAAGAACCAACAAGGAGGGGAAGATTAAGCCATAGAGTGTAATAACACTGCCAGGGTATACAGAGAACAGACATATGTGAAAAAAATGCTGCAATCAACACCATAGGTGGAAGAACATAAATTGATTGAGTGATATATAGTACTAACCAGTTTGACATTTGTCTCCTGTCCATCGTGGATGGCATGTACCTTGAGAGCACGTTCCGGTCTCCTGGTTACAGTCCTCGACACCACCAGCACAGTGACACGTCTTAGAACAAGACTCGAAACATCCAGTAACTAAAAGACGTAAACATATCGGATGAGTAGAAAGAAAATTGAGCAAAAATGATTGAAATAAAAGCAGTTTCCATGTTCAAATTTTTGCATTGATAGGTATTAGTTTACTAGGATTTTTTTTATTAAAGTACATTTTGGAGTATAAATATTACTATCATTAGGTATTACATGTTACCTGGATCATTGAGGGGTAAAGCTAACTAAACCACTGGAACCTCAGGATCCGACCTTCCTGTAAAAATTGATTTGGATATGCAGGTATCTCACTATACTGGCATGTGTGGAGTATCCCATATTTATTATACTCTTTTACCAAGCATCAGTACAGTATTTTTGTCATGTCCGTATCTACGTGGTGACTGAATGTTTCGCAAGGTTATTCTTAGTTCGTGTATAACACAACAAATAATATCAGCGGTGTAAATCAATGTGAAATGCACAGGCCTTCGTTATATTCTACATTAATTCTTATTAATCTCCGTTTTATTGTCGTACTAAGGTAAAGGATAATATCTTACATGTGGCACATCCATCTGGTCTCTCTGGAGAGTCGGCAACATAGCCAATCTCACATTGTCCTCCCGATGATGTACAGAAACCAGAGTCCTTCTCACATTCCGAGTACTCTGGACAGTTACAGGACTCTGTGCAATTTATTCCCGTATAACTGGCTGTACATACAGGGGGAACTGCAAAAATAGTATATGGATTCAAAGATTTTATCATTATTATAATAACATTTAAAAAAACAATGATAATAATAGTATAAACATTAACAATAATAATGAATATAAACGATACAAATATTTTGGATGCATAGATCTGAGATTTTTCTAGTAAAAGGCTTCACATAATCATTAACCGGATGTGGTATTCAAGTTTGCCCACACTCTATTAATCCACGTTTTTTTAATTCCCCGGGGAGCATTCCAGCTAGGCACCTTATAAAGACGTCCACAATACTGACAAAACCACAATAACTTTCACCTTTGACCTTTCATTATGACGAACCATGTCGAATATATAGTATGACAAATACTGTTTCATTTTTTCTGATATAACCAAAGGAGAAGATTAAAATGGGAAGACAGCGAAATCTTTGTCTGCACACACATATTCTAATTTGGTAAAAAGAATTCCATATTTCCTTTTCAATACATAGACTAGCTAAGAACGTTTAAAGTTGTCCCATGGGCAGGTACGGAACACATTGTATGGAGTGCAGTAGATCATGCAATCTACTTAGTCTTGTAGTTCAGACACTGTTCCACAAGACGACTGAGGGATGAACAGACCAATGATCTGACAGTATTACCCGCTATGGTCACATTACCCAAAAGTAGCCTGCTCGGCGGCCGAGCGGCGAGTTTTTAGCCAGTTTTGCCCGGCCACCGAGCGGCGGCCGCTCAGGCACCGCTTATTTTTAAGGCATCGCTCGGTCGCTGCTGAAGTTTTAGCGCGGAGTTAAAATTCGGGCGGCGCCTGCCCACTTTCACTCGCCGCCCAGACTACGCTCGGCGACCGGGCGGTCGCCGCCCGGACGCCGACCTAATCGAGCGTTCACCGTCGAGCGATTTAGGTCAAAAATCGAAGCCCCTAGGTCAAACGCTGTCGAGCAGTCGCCGCCAGGTCGCCGCCCGGTCGCCGCCGGGAGATCAGTCGGTCACTGGACGGCGAGTCCAAAACCGGTCGGCAGCCTTTGACCTAGCGCCTTCGATTTTCGACCTAAATTGCCCGGCGGCGAACGCTCGATTAGTTCGGTGCCCGGGCGGCGAACGGCCAGGCACCGAGCGTATTTTGGAGCCCCGCCAATCACTGGCCGGCTGCCGGGCAATTTCTTTAAAATCCCGGTGGCTGTTGGGAGACCGCCCGGCAATCGGAGGGTCACCGGTCGGTCATTGCCGGGACACCGCGCGAAAAAAGCTCCGCGATTTCGCCCAGTTTTTACCTAAAATCGACCGGCGACCGACGGGAAATCGACAGGTCACCACCCAGGCATCGCTGGGGCTCTACAGCCTGCTCGACTTCTCCAACAATCCCTGGGCGATGCCTAAATTCCAGCAGCGACCGAGCAGGCTACTGATCGGTCAGTCGCTGCTCTGATTTGTGACCATAGCTTTATATACAGGTATCGAATGTTATACCCACCAATGGAAAATCGCGATTGATGATATTATTGACCAACATGGATACCACAACATCTTGCCAAAACTTTATGCAACCTACTTTGTTCTTGAACTGGTAAAATTCTTACACAAAGTTACCGTAGCAACCCTTTCAATGCAATCAATTTGTACATTCCAGGTACATAGCATGAAGGACCAGTGGTTACAAAACATATATTTCTATATTATAATATACCAGCAAGTCCATCAAAGAAAGTAGGTAGGCATACCTTGACACCCTTCTCCTGACCAACCATCCTCACAGTCTCCCTCACATCTTCCAGTGAAGGCATCACATGGCATCCCTTCTGCACAGTGGCAATCCTGAAGGCAGTCAACACCAAACTTACCCGGAGTACATTCTGAAATGACATTCACGACAGTAAAGAATAGAAAAATAATGAATAAGAATAGGTCATTCCGCATGCACATTGATAATCTTGCTGGCAGTCATCAACGAACCTTCATGTCGAAATTCCAGAGATTTAAATCACGATATTAGATCTGATTTAACAAAAAAAAAATACTTAGGGGACATCCCATCTGTGTATAGAATAATCTTGCTGGCGGTCTAAACCGACTTTTCCTAGAAAAGTACTAATATTTGATTTCCGACAGCGAAAATATAGAAAACAAAACATTATACTCCTCGATTTTTAACAGCGGTACCAAAAAACATTTTGTTTCATTGAATTTAACGATGCAATCATTACGTCGAAGTTTCATTTTTAAGACTTTAGTAACACATAGACACGAAAGAAATCACATTCAGATTACGTGAAACGTCATGGTAATGTTGTCACGTGCAAACGGGTGATGGACATGCGAATTTAGATTGCCTTACGTTTGTCTTTTGAAAGTTTTGTGATCGTATTTATTTAGAATTAACGTATCTTACGTTCATCGCAGTATATTCCTGTATAACCAGTCAGGCAGTTGCATCCGTAGGGATCGGGTAGACACACCTGGCTTCCACTGCATGCTTGTAGAGCATTTCCAGCACCACATTCAAGTTCACACTCCCATCCAAAACGGTTTTCATCGCATGCTGTTCAACAAGAAATTAAGATATTAAATACTTCTTTGATAATTTTCTCACTATATGTAGCACGTGCACTTGAACATAATTAGCTGTCTTTATTATCATTTTCGCTTGGTTAAATCTTTGAAATATAAATATTCAAGTACGCACTCCGACGGCTGTAATTGCTTCCTGTGAAATGCGTTATAATCACATTGAAAGCAATTCGATTATTTCGCAATAAGTAGGCACCACAATTTGTGAATATATATCCTTGTTAGTAATCATTATTTTTTAAAATACTTTTATCCATATAATGGTACCCCATAACCCCCCCCCAAAGGCCCCCAAAAGCGGTAAACCTTAGAACTGAGAAAAAATACTTATTATTAAAGGGCTACAAGTTTGTCGATCGCATAAAATTATATCAAAACAGATAATAATTTAGTTATACATAACGTGTATAATATTATTTTAAAAATCTCATTTACTCAAGTTACATCAAGACAAATGTGTGGTCTCTCATATCTCCCTCAAAAGCCCAAATGACTGAACAGCGAGCGATATCATTCAAACACAACATGGCAAGCTTCAGTTGCAATGAAACTGCATGGAGGTGAGGGCGGAACAGTGCGAGTGCGATTCAGTGTGCGTGTGCGTGTGTATGTGTGTGAATATATAGCATTGCGTATCACATATAAGTAGTAAACACTTTTTTTGCGGATTTTAGTTTCTTTGTCATGGGGTCAGCCGGTCAGGAGGAAAGTGGGACTCGTGCTGTAATATATGTCAATACTAATGTGTTTACTTTTACGTAGAGAAATATTTGGACGTCTCACCAGTCAGACAGTTTTTGCCCATGAATCCTGGAGGACAGATACAGGTTCCTGATTGAGGGTGACAAATCCCTCCATTGTAGCAATTATCACACAGACGGTCACAGGATGGGATATTCCATCGGCCACGTGGACAATCTATAGGAATAAAATGGAATCAAAGTGGCATAATGTTTGGCTGAATCTTTAAAGATTGGGGATAGGGCTAATTGACAAAATACAGTTACAATGTTTTTTTATTTTACGCAGGGAAATCTTCGACGTGTATTTAGCTCTTCAGTTCCAGCAAATTGTAATGTTCAAGAAACCTTGAAAGGTAAAGGTAAAATTGTGTTATGGTAAAAAAGAAAATGAATTCTCACAGAATCATACGAAAGTTACACTGAATGTTCAAGATTACAAATAAATGTCATTTGTCAAACAATTTTGGTAGAACATGTATACTGGAGTAATGAGCATAGAGAGATAAGGAAATGAAGGTAAGTAGGCCCGTCACCATTTGTGTAGTCCCATATACATCTTTCTGTGTACAGCTTGTTACTTTACCAAGACTGGGTCAAATGTATTATGATTTTGATGACTCCAGAACCTTGCAGTACACACCAATACTTACAGGCTACATGATCAACTCTTTCTGATCCATTCCACACCTTTTCTGTCACAATGCAATCGCATGACCAGAGCTTACCTTATCTTTAATAGACGTCTGGTAATAATACACTGTTTAAAATTCAACTTATTTTCTTTAAATACGTAATTACTTCAGATCATATTATAACTTTCCAATCATAATAAAAGGAAACTTTTAAGAAGGGAGCGAAAATCCAGAGAACATTTGGTATACATGTACAGGTAGTTTATTTATACAATGTTTAGAATATCAGAACAATGCAACGAATAAAACAAAATCTTACCACTGACAATGACGCGAATCAAGCTGTACATTAGATTTTCAACCATGTCGTTTTGAAACGTTCCGTAAATATCAGCATTTCTCTTCGTTGCCGATCGAATGGCATAGGTCAGAGCCCCGTCCCCCTCTGGAGACAAAGATCCTTCAGCAAGGTTTGAGAAGGTCCTCCATCGGATTTCATCTTCACCTGCTGTGTACATATCCGTGGTAGAAACTGAGAGTGTGATATTGTCCCCTGGATAAATCGTTTTCGTGAGACGGCCGTCAGTTGGTTGAAAATGTCCTGGAAAAAAAGGAAGAAAGAAGTGAAAAGGACTTGAAACCATAAGAATTAAGTATAGATAAGAGATGATTAATAATGAGTTAAACCAAAGATCTTTCATAAATTGTCTGAATGATTAGAACTGGAAACCTCATAAAATGCTAATTGTATTCTAAACATGGTTTTGCTTTTCAGAATCTCGATTTGCATTTCAATGTCTCGCCTCTGAATGTGTAAAAACTCACCCCCAATCAGTCAACAATGACAACAAAAGAAAAGAAAAAAAAATAGAAAAGTTTGAAAATTAAGTTTCGAAATGTGAATTGTCATAAGGATGAGCTTTATGCAGTGGTGAGGATGATTAAGACGACGACAACGACGCCGATTATGATGATAATGCTTAACACAATTCATATGGCGCCATATTTTTGCTAAAAACATTTAAAGACACAGAATGCCCTTAAGTTTAATAAGAAAAACATGTGCTAAGCCTAAGGTATGTTTAAAGTTATGTACTATTGTGTAAGTCCTATTCTCAAACAATCTTCGCTCAATTTGAATTATACTTACTGTCTTTTGAGAGAATTGTTACATCTGCCGATGTTGAAATACCATAAGTTGTTGATGTACTCGAGCACTTATAAACTCCAACTGATGTTACATCACCAGGTAGATCCTGTATTAATCCACCAGGCTGAGTTATTTTCGTGCCCGGGACGTCCAGTGTATACCCCTCTGTGGTGAGGCTCTGTACAATTACTCTCTCCGTATAGGTTACAGAGTCTTCTGTGTTGTCAGGAGGGCTGAGTATGCATGAGAAACGTGGAGTAGCTCCCGAACTCCCGAAAGGTGTTGACGTCATGGCAAGTACATGGAGTGGTGGGGCTGAGTAGAGAAATTATCAGAAAAAAGGGAAGATGATTGTCCTTGCATTATGTCTATGGTAATGACAGAGTCCAGTGGTCAATGTATACAAGCGATACATGATCCATCCATACAGTAACTTCCAAGTCGTAATTCAAATATAGATCTCTAGTACATGTATAATATTCTTTATTTCGTCTCGCTAGCAGAGCTTACTAATTTGCGTCTAAGAAAAAAGAAGAGGAAGAAGAAGAAGAAGAAGAAGAAGAAGAAGAAGAAGAAGAAAGTTCAGACAAAAAAACGAATGTTGGCTCAGTCACCGAATTCATCTGATGTTTGAGACCAATGATGGTTGTGCTTTACGTAATAAAATTTTATTTGATTGCTGTTAACATGATAATGGACAAGAATGGCGTATTTTTTTTTTTTTACTCATAGCTTCATTACACACTAAGAAAAAATAGTGCAAGTGTGCGCCTTTAGGGGTGCAGACCGATGCGACACTGGCAGCACCTTTAGGGGCTAAATCCTGCACCCTTTAAAAGGGTGCCAGATTGAACCTTTTAGGGGACATGTTAGTACCCTTTATGGTTCAATCCTGCACCCTTAGGGTTGCAAACTGATACAACACTAGCAGCATCTTTATGGGTTCAATCCTGCACCCTTTAAGAGGGTTCCAGATTGCACCTTTTAGGAGACACTTTAGTACACTTAATGGTTCAATGCTGCTCCATTAGGGGTGCAAACCGATGCAATAACAGCACCTTTAGGGGTTCAATCCTGCACCCTTTAAAAGGTGCAATCCTGCACCCATACTCGAGGAATACTCCTGAAATTTGCTCGTCCACAAATACATATTAAACATGCATGTTGTTTCTTGGTTAGTAATCATATAATCAATATACATGTATCCATCGCTAAAACGTGAATGTAATTGTAACATGATCAGGCAAAATAATCTATTGGTTAATGATTGCCGAAGGAAAATAGAAATCACAAAATTGATGTGCATTGTCATAATTTGCTTAAAGGAAACCTAAACCCAAAGAATAAGTGTAAGTATTTTGAAAAAAATGAGATGTATTCCTGCCTTTTGATGTACACTATTCCTTTCGAAAATGTACAAGATATATATAAATGAAGATATTCCTGGCATGATGTGATGCCTTTCAGCATTATATGGGCGCAGCCATTTTCTAGAAAATGTGACGTACCTGATGAAGATGTACATGTATCATGCACTAAGTTTTAGTTGGAAATAATTTTTAAATCAATAACGAAACCTTTACTTTTCAATGAAAAAAAAAAAACTGAGATGATAGAAAATATATTAGGTGAAAATAAATAACAGGGGCACAATTGTAACAAAATTCATTTATAAATACTACATTGTAGCAGTTGACAAATCTTTTTCATTTATGAGAAATCTTTACCCCAGAAGGGCATTAACTTATTTATGCAATTTGCGTTCTGGCAATCATAGTACAAAGGATAATAGCAGGTGAATGAAATGCCTCATCACCACACACGTCTGGGAATGAAGCATCCATAAATTAGAATACATTAACGACTTCGCATAGTACGTCACATTATCACGAAAATGGCGATGCCCATGTCGTGCTGGGAAACTGTACTTTATTTTAGCTTTATTCCTTTCTCATACACTTTGGTGGGGAATCTTGTAGATTTATGGGCAATAATATAATAAATCTCCCAGAATAAATAAAGTTATTACTTGGGGTTCGGTTTCCTTTAACAAAGCATGATAAACGTATTTGTATGTGAACACGTGTAAAGTTATCGTGAATATGCATGTAATATGCAAACTTTTATTTTGGGTTCATTTTTGTGGGAAGGGTGCAAAATCTTATATTGCACCCTTTTTTGAACCCCTTTTCCTTCAATAGGTAACATAGGGTGCAAACTCTTATTTTGCACCCTTTTTTTTAGAGTGTAGACACCTCAGTAAGTATAGAAAAGTAAGGTCACAGTTCATCACTATCAAATTAGTTGGTTGATATTTAAATAACATGGCATACCCTCTGATTTCTCGCAGACAAACCTATGTGAATTGTTGCAGAGTAGGTCATTCCAGCCGCGTTTTCGATTTTCTACACACTGTTCGTCCCCTTTGTAATTGTCTGGGCCACCGGGAGTCCATGCAATGAATCTACATAATGGAAGTAATGAAAGCTTCGTGATATTGCATACGTTACAAATTTGTAGTACTGTCAGAGTTGTGGTGAATAAAATGTAATGAATGAGCTCATATTGGATTTTTACCCCCCCCCCCGAAAAAAAGGTACATACCATACATATTTAAACTAGCAGAATTGCTATATCCTTAGTAAAACAACCCAGAACAATACATTTTTCTTTTTAAACAGTAAAGGTGGCTTAACAGGAAAAGTTCCTAGCCTCATACTACGCAATAGTAAACGTCAGAAGGAAATAAATTGTTTCATGTTTAGCTGTAAATATGTTTTCCAGTAAAATGACTCTTCTCGCTTCTTTTAGTACCATATTTTGTTGGGTAGATCTTCATGTTAGAGATCATGTGGGGGCAATTTGGGAGACGATGGGATCAAGGCCCAGATATAATTATGGCAAGATCACCACAAACAACGTAACAGCAAAGCTGAGACAGATTTTAACTGCTAGATGTTGCCATATACCCAAACACACGTCAACGCCCTATACAACCCTATGCCCACCATTCAACATACTTTGGATTTTTTTAGATTTTTAGAGATGGAAAGGAACACCTGGTGACGAAGAGGGCTTTCAGCCTCAGCTACCATTGGCTGACACATGATGATTAATATGTTTATGAAGACAGGGATCATAAGTTAAGTATATATAATTCCCGATTGCAATAATGCCCGATTACAAGAGTTAAGTTAACAACGTAACTATTTGTTTTCGACAAACGTACAAATAATCTCCCATATAGTATCTATCATGGGATAGATGTACCGGAGGCTTCAAGATTTTTGAACTGTTTCCAGTGCTAGATTTATCTATACCGCTGTTGAACGAGTTGTCATAATTACTAATTAAGACTGGACTTGGTTAGTTTATTTATCTCTCGATTGGTGCCCATCGTTTTGGGGGTAAACGAGCGACAGTGCAGATATAGAGGCAACAAAAATCAACCGAAGCTCTAGGTACGGTTTAAGGGCTACCTTGAAATGCACAAGAGAGAGAGTTAGAGAGAGAGAGAGAGGGGGGGGTGGTGGGAAGAGAATGAGAGAGAGAGAGAGAGAATAAAATATGATCTTACCCTGTATTTCTTAACAGCGTTCCATCAGCCCACCGGAAAGTACCTTCCTTGCTCAGATCATCAAGCCCAAACCAAAATCTTCCGTCTCCAATATTTCCAAATTGATTTTTCACTGCTGACTGTATTATCACGAAAAACATTTTTAACAAAAAGTATTTATAGTGACTTTCTCCATATGAATGAAAAATTGGAACTAGTAGTTATATTCGAAAACGTACACAAATAGCAAATTAATATGACCAAGGAGACCTTGATATAAATGGATCGTGATATTCGATTGGAAGACACATGCTCCGGTGACAATCACATCGTGGATGATTGAAATGAATTGTATCATTAACAAAAACATGGCATGCAGCAAAAGACTGTACTTGGTTTATTTTATCAAATCAACCGAAACAAATTCAAATATTGATAACAAAATAAAATAAATAGATGATAGAAAAGGGTTGGGTTGATTACCGTCTCGGTGATGACATGTTTCCAAACATCATGTATCCATGTTGAATATTCTAAAGATTAGGAATAAACTACACAAGTCTAGGGAAGTTCTATACGCTTTATTTTTAATAAGATAATGGCTCCTTTAATTCGTTTCTTCTTTTGTAGCTTTGAAATCTACTTAGATATGGGTTATACATTAGAGCAACCCATTCGAAATATGAACTCTGTGTAGGAGGCCTGTTTCTTTAAAAATAATGAGCTTAATCTGAAGTGATCATGTATAGTCATTGCATGGAAGCGATTATTTGTGGCTTTGTATGCTTTAACCGGTCCGACAAAACACATCTTACATAAATATTTGATGTTTTTAACTGAGCAAGCCGTCCACCTATTTGATGACAATAATCCCTTGCATTGAAATAGCTTGTGTCCAAGGTTGAAATTAAATACTGCACGTTTTGCACTCCTGATATATATGTCCATTGTCCAGTTGGTACTGCAAAAGAACAAATGAGAAATATCCTTTTTCAGCAAAGGCCTCTAAAAACAAAAGAAAAGAAGACAAAAAAAATACTAGTGTGCCTTCTTGGTCGTCCGAACAAAAAAACAAATGATAACGTTGTGGTAAAATGACATTTGCAGTACGGACAATAAATTGTCAACATTCAGTGAGGCGTTGCTAGGTTCCCGAGTGATAACCCTGCGGCTTGGGGCACTCATCTCCGTCTTCGCATTGAACACATATCATGTGACAAAATGTTTTGATTTGTGAAATCCTTAAGAATCGCGAACAAATATTTATTATCTTGTCTTTTTTAACAAGATTGTTCAGACAGCCCTCCCCTCTTTGGAAATGATTTAGCAACGTCCCTGCTATCAGTATCAGGGCATGCTCTCCACGGATTCACCTTGTTATTGATTGTACTTTTTCTTTACTGTCCTAAAAAAAAACACCTTACCTTGTGGTCTTTCACAGATGTACGGCAGTGGGTCCCCATAAGATCTACCGTCCCATTTGCCATGTCTGTTAGCGTCATTCCCATCAGACCACAAACACGCGCAGGTTCGCCCAGTAGAACTTGGCTCTCCAGGAGCCCAGATAGGGTTACTAAAATGTAATAGTCCATATTATAGGTTATTCGGGTCATGTAATGAATAATCTTGAGCTTGTTGATAACAACATATAATTGTTTTTTTTCTGTGTTTCCACGCTATAAGAGAAACAAATTTGTATTAACAATTCACAGGATGACGAAAAAAATGTAAATAGTAAACAGTTGTAAAAAATGAATATGAAAAGAGCAATGTTGGCATAAATGGCGGCAAAATTCCATTATGCCACGCCAGTAGCGTACGCAGGAATTTTTCTAGGGGGGGGGGGGAGATTTAAATTTCGCAACGACTCAGCCAGCCGCTAAATAAGGTCAGCCATTGGCATAATTCTTTTTTTTTATAATAATAATTTTAAAAAAAAAAAAAAAAGGGGGGGGGGGGTTCTGTATTTTCTTATTTGTATTTGTATGGGTATCGCCAATATGTTATCCTGTTTCAAATGTGTTTCGATTTGATGTATACTTGTATATTTGTGTTTATTTTATCATGTGTGTTAGCAAGGACGTGTGTGCGTGTTTGTGTGTGTATGCGTGCAAGTAATGTTTAGAGGGTGTAAGTGTGTTAGGCGGTGCGTGTGTGTGTGTGTAGACCGTTTTTGAACAGCAAAAGGTAAATGCATAGAATATCACCTTATTTGAGTTTCATCAATCCAGGTGAATGGCTCAACATCCGCGCTTCGACTTAGACCGAACCAGTAACAAGAAGGTGACGAACGGGCAGGCGATACAAACGATGTTAGGAACGTCTGTATAACAATTAAACAAATAATTTAACATAACACTGAGCAAAAGATGGCTGCATTGAATACGACATACCATAAAGAGTCTTCTCCCGTCGTATAATGTTGAGATCTGGATCTCGTGAAAAATTTGGTGGAAGCTTATTGATCTCCTATCAGATTGTTAAAATATTTTCTTCAGCCTTCAAGGGAAAAAAAGGAGGACACAGCTTGGGGTTATCTTTCCAAATTGACTGATTTATTTTCCCATTCCGATAGGACTGTTCTCATTTTTGAACTCTCATTGTTCTGTTGTTTTGAAATTTAAAAAGGTGAAACTTGTTCTTCTTTTGAAATCACGATAAACGAAACATCATCTGTTTCTTGTAGTCCACACTGATTTTGAATTAAATTAAAATTGACATTTATTTCAGTCTCAAGATATTAACAACAATTGCGGTAAACAGTACACAAATATAAAGACATCAACAACAAAAAAATCAGAGAATCGAAGGGGACGAAACTGTAAGTACTTATGTGAAAATGGGTACATTTATTCCATGTAGACCTAAACATAGCAAAAGTTTGCGATATACTCATAATTTCCGTTTCGGTTTAATAAAATTTGGAGTGGACTATTAGGCTATTCTTATTCTTCTTATTACAATGCAGGTGCCTCAAAATGAGCTTTTTGGGATAGGCGTTTTTTCGCCTCGGGTGTAAAGAACCGTTTACATTTATTAACGTTACTTTGACACTTTCATATCCGTTTTCTTGTGCATTACATTATTAATTTGACAGCATGTATGGCATACGGTAAACACAATACAATTGCTAATCATAACCCATGGAGGAGTCGTGGTCAAGTTGATAAATCTCCGGACTATTAATCACAAGGTATACCGGGTAAAAATCTCTGCCACATTTTTTAGCAGACATAAAGCTTCATTTGCCACACTCGACCCAGCTGAGGGCGAGATCGGCGTGAACGTCCACTGATCATGCGTGTCTACGGCAAGCCGTTTAAACATTTATTCCTATATCTTGATATCAAGAATTCAATTCTTAATATCACGAATTACCATTGCTTTACAACAGGAAATCATATATATTGTTATCAAGAAATAGGAATAAATGTTAAAACGGCTTGCCATAGACACGCATGATCAGTGGATGTTCACGCCGTTCTCGTCCACTCAGTCTAAACGGCCCTAATGTGGGGCTCCATGATTGTCAACCCTGACGGATAAGAACCCACTGTTAGCAGTAATCGTATCAATAAATCAAACAATTTCTTTTCGCACATGCATGATATAATGCTATTCATTATACCGAGTCGCTATGAAAGTGAGAAATGTGACGACAATTGAGTGCATAAGTTTTGTTTAGTATGCTTAATCTGGAAATAGACGCTGTAGTTCATAGAATTACCAGGAAGGAAAGAAATGTGATCATACGTACATGTAATAGTTGCAATCATACTTACATTAAGTTCTGCTGATCCGATAATTGCCAATCTTCCTCCATTATTCGAACACTCTGTCTTGGCTTCATCAAAAGTGTTCCTATTTCCCATGAAGCGATAAAATGAATGCCCGAATTGGTGCCAAGAACAACGTGAATCTGCGAAATGAAACGCCGATTATTTGTACTGATAAACTATTCTTCTTTTGACCAAAAGTGTTCTTTATTGGTAAGACATTAATCAACATTTGCCACTCTTTACCCAGGTACTTGTTAACGGTAAGAAAGCTGTGAGCATCGAATTCCGTATTCTAGGTTAAACCGGGGTAATAATAAAGTGCCTTTACCACCATGCGTGGTCAAATTGACCACTGGTGAACCTTTCCCGTCTAATGAACCAGCAGCAGCATAAACACGTAGCGAAGATAGAACTAAAAAGTTGAATCGCAGGCTTGCTATATTTTCTTAATCATATTCTTCTCCCGACATCTCAAAAAACGAAGATTAAATTCTCCCTCGTCATTCCCCCAGTGGTGAAGTCAAGTGCCCGGCCGAACGGACAAAACCGACAAAATTGATCCCTTTTAAATAGTTGGGTATCCAGACCTTGGCCTCGTGGGAGGGGGGGGGGGATGGAAACTATGTGTGATATATAGAGTATGTTTCGATGCCTTGGTTTGCGTTTCTGGGGGGGGGGGGGGTAGGAAGAGCCAATAATCTGGATCCATTTCCCCTATTCTGCTTGCTCATCATGACATTTAAAGGGCAAGTCCACTCCAAAAATAATTAACTTACAATAGAAGCAGAAAAATCAGACAAACCATTCAAAAAAGGTTTGAGCGAAATCAGAAAACTATTAACAAAGTTATGAGTTTTTGAAAAAGAATGTAAAATCAAGGAACAATGTAAATCACTACACAAATTGCCAATTTGGTTATCAGTTTGTGACGTCATGTCCTCAGTATTTATCAATTGTTTTTTTTAAATATTTCAATCCCATTAATTTCCCATTTTTGTACTGATTTTTATATAAAAACTTTATCCAAACTCACATTTTTCATGATTTAACTGAAAAAAAACTATTCCATATTAGTACATCAACACGAAAACATATTTTTTATCAATTTAACTTGGATGCTCGTGTGAAGATTAAAATTCTTAGGGGGGAATAGGAAATTTATATAATCAATACGTCGCTGTTTTCACGAAGTGACGGTAGTGAAAACAAATTGCATTCACTTTGCGTTACGATTTTCCTCACTACCGTCACTTCGTGAAAACAAGGACGAATATAAAGAAAACAATAAGTGGATCGTGAGGCAATGACGTCACAGACTCATGAGTGAGTTGCCAATTTGTCTTGTGATTTTCAAAGTTTTTCATGTCATTAAATATTCATAACTTTCTCATTAGTAACCAGATTTTGCTCAAACTTTTTTTGATTGGCTCGTAGTGATCTTACTGCTTTTATTGAAAGTAGGGTATTTTTGGCTAATCGCTTCTTGTTTTGTTAATGTTTTTTATAAGGTGATGCATTTTGTTTCCTTGTTGGACATCTGTCATTAGGCATATTGCTCTTTGCTTCTCCTTGACATTGATTAGTTTCTCATGATAGATTACCTTTTGGACGTTGGCAAATGTGAACCCGCTGATCGGTACAACTGCTGTCCTCCCACTGTCCTTGATAACCAGATCTTAGCCGTATGCACCTCCCTTGCCCTGGTGTTGAACGGAGGTTTGAATACCTTATACAAAAGGGAAAAAGGTAATATAGAGTAATGACCCTTATTATGTGCTTGGAAAATGTCATGAATTATTTCAAATTAGTACGTTAATCATTATTATTATTATTATAATTAGTATTAATATTATCATTAACATTATTATTAATAATTGTATGACATTTTAAACTATCATCACTATTTTAATAATTGTTATTAACATTATTTCACCACTTTTGTATTATTTTTATATTTTCATTATTATATTTATTACAATCGTATCAGATTGAATATTCCACGCAGCAACCGAACACGCTTCTGCCAATCATTCGTACCCTACTCACGTTCAACACAATTCTTAATAGAAAATATAAACTATATTTATCTCCTTAAACTTATTTACACCATAGATATCATAAATACAGATGTACGCAAGAGCAGCAGAGAACGTAAAAGTGTTTAAAAAAAAACTACACTACACGAAAAATGAAGGAAGAGACGACAAACAAATTAAGTAGCGGCTAATAATTTTTGTATGAGGAATGAAGTTTGGGAAGAAGAATAATACTGAGTAGAGTTACGCCCCTTTTGTTTTGTGAACAGATAACATAAGTGAAGATGGTTTTATGTATACATGTACGTGTTTCTGTCTTGATTTCTCCTACTGCCTGTTATTGCTGGTGGAAAACACATTTGTGGACAAGAATAAATTAATTATAAAATTATGATTTTTTGTTTTGTTTATTACCATTACATACCCACTTAAGAATCATGCCAAAGATGTATTCATAAAATATCCAAAGCATATTCGTAGATTTGATGTTTTCTTAGTTAAAGTCTGAGAGCAAAACATTTTGTTTGCATCCAATCACCATTGCACTATTATATATGTCTTGGGCAAGATTGACCTCATCCCTCGAGTAAGCATCGCTTTTCATGCTGTGACTACAAATAACGAATGTATTCGAAAGTAAGAAAAACATCATAAACCTAATAAATATGTTTTCGATATATTGATATTTAAAATAGAATCGAATTACCCTGATAGGCTGTTGTTTATCCAGGTGTATACACCGTCTCCATCCAAGTCATTCAGGCCAATCCAGTAGTTATATCTTCCATCACTAGCTTTCAATGTAAACGTGTTCAGAAACGCCTTTCAAAATGGATGAAAATGTAATCGATCGGAATGGTCAGGCAAATAAACGTATTTTGTTATACAAGGACATCCCGGCCCCCCCACTCAGACATTGAGTACTACATAATCATAAACCACGCATACTGTTTGACTGCGCTGAGGCGACGCCACTAATTAGTGGCCTCCATCACTGTGAAACTCCTGGGTTTATGATTGGGGTGTGTAGCTAATTACACGAATTTAACCTCATATCGTAGACCTGTATTATGAAAGAATACTTGTGATCAATGTTTGTATCTCGTGCATAAATGATATGCATTGCACTAGCTCGGTACAATCTCAAGTAATCGGGATAATGACAAGTTTCGTTCATTAACCGAATGTTAATAAATCCTGCCTGTACTTGCAAACATTAACTGTTTGTTTGCAATTGTTAAATTTGTTATCATAAAACCACTGAAATTGTTGCTTCTTATGTTCGTCATTGATGTAGTTTTTTGTCAACTATTGTAATTAATAATATTTACATTTTTACCTTTGTTGTGGCTTTTATCATTAGCTTCATCATTAATACTTTCTTTCTTCCATTGTTAATTAGTACTAGATATTTCGTTATCTGATTACTTGATTATCAACTGTTGGAGCATTTTCGTTATAATTTTACGGTTAAAGGTAACAACATTCAACAGCGACGTAGTTAAGTTACAAGGAAATATGTAGAAAAACAACCCCTTACGTTTTGTTCGTTGGAAGTGATAACTGCTAGGTCTCCACCTAATGATCGACAATATGTCATAGCATCACTGTATGATCTACCATAGTTCACGATGAGATACTGGTTGTTACCAAACTCCAACCAATCAGGCGTGTTGCATATCTGAGCACTTCCTGCATCGACACAATGAAGCAGTAAAAGTATAAGAAAATACTTTTTCTGGCTGTATATTGTATATGGAAATTAAAAGTATATACTTTGTATCACATGAAAAAAAAAGATATCTTGATAATAAAAAAAATCATTTTAGCCCACAAGATCGCAAAAGCCAGTAACCAACCAAATGTTGCTGGCAATTTTTTTTTTTTTTTTTGTCAATCTGTATTAAGTGTTGTTTATAAAAATAAGAAAACAGGTGTTCAGGGACGAATCCAAAATTTCCGTAAAGGTTAGGTAAAAAACTAATTAGAGAAACAAAGTATAAATGGGTTATCACATTTTTGATGTGCATTTTGAAGAAAAGGTCCGTGAAAAAGTGGTAATCACTATTTCAGGTGCATTTTTGTAGAGGGGTGGACACACGGTCCCCAATCCCTTATACAGACAGGGCATGCAGTTGCTACGAAAAAAACATTACCCAACCAATTCAACAGATTATGCTCAATTGTGAACCATAGACAAGAGGTTGTAAAAACTGTTGGTCCCTGCCTTTCTATTAGTATAGAATTTAAAAACAGACACACACACACACACACACACACACATACACACACACACACGCACACACACACACACACACACACACATACTTCTGATAGGCCTATCGCTCATTCTATTCTTTGTATTTTTCATGTTACACCGTTTGTAATTAACATTGTTAACGAAACGCTTTGTATTTTATAGATTGATGTCAGTTAAAACATTTTTGGGGGACTTCCTACCTTGTCCTGTAACTAGAAACAGAAGTGGTATGACTACCCATAGTGTTGTAGTGAGAGGTGACTTCAGAAAATGATCTTTCGAGTATAAAACCTTCATAGTTCCTGATATCAATCCTTGCACTGCCTTAAGATGACGATTCAGCTTGTTCTTCTACAAAATCCAGCAGGGTTGAATTAAATTCCATAGCTTGATGAAGTCAGTCGAAGAACAGTCTTGCAGGTTGCGGCTCAAGTGAGTATATTCCCAGCTTAACAACTGTTTATGTATTCTTCGTATGTGAAATATGAGGTGTGTATTTTAGCCACAATTTAGTTTCGTGTATACTTCCTCAAACTTACAAGTACACTCTTGTAAAATACTTTGAAGTGTGGGGCAATCTATGGCCGTTCATCCAAGGGGTCGAGTCTGCAGACACGGTTGCATTTGCCCCTGAATATGAGATAATGGCTTTGCTGCATGCATTGTGCTACTTACGCAAGGTCATAATATTGTACAACATTGCCCCAAATGCTATGATGAGTAATTGCGGTATCATTTGAACTTTGAAGTAAACTAATTTCATGAAACAAGGACAATGCTTGACGCTCTAAAATTAACATCAGTAAAAAGTTGTGATCTGTTATATTCTTCCAAGCT